GCATCCAACTTCTAGGAAGCTCTCATATATCTAATCAGTTCATCAAAACTAACCCAGATGAACAGAAGACAAGTTGAACATGGTTAGCTCAATTTCACAGAATTACCCAGACCCAATTTCCCCCTCTTCTGAGTGAGCATCTGCAAACTGCTTTTCAATTGCAGGCTTCGCCCTAAAGCCACTTTTGGAAATTTTAAGGAGAACACCAAAACAATTTGGATTTGAAGATTCTTGAGACATTCAAAAAAAAAACCTCCATTCAAAAAGTCATCAGCAGAGAACAGTGAGAAGGCAGGACAAGGCCTCTTTGTGCACACTTATCGTGAAGGGACCTTCAGTACTTGGAACGTTGCAGCAAAACAAATGATCCGTTCAGAAAGAGATTCCAGACGGCGATAACGCAAAGGGCAACCGTTGGAGCAACTTTAAGGCCTCATTTGTGAGGCAAATTGTTTCCATTCAAGATGTCTGAGCGGCGCTGCGCGGATTGGAACGGGCCGGAAAGAAGACTCGTAGCTGAGCAGCGGGATGTGTGACAGGGGGGCTGATGACATCCAGTTCAACAGCAGCTGTGGTAGCTGGTGCTGTATTAGAAAGTATGGGTAAAAAAAACAAGAAGCATAAAGCAAAACGGTGCCGACCACAGTGAAGTGGGTGGCATGGTTCAATAACTGAACAGTAGAGAGCAAATTTTTCAGTGTCTAGACAATCAATTCCGATGTTTAAGATCACATTTTGATTCCGAATTGATTTTTATTTTGGAAAAGAATTTTTCTAATCAAATGGTCCAGAGATTCTTGTTCAAATTATGGGAGTGACAAAAGAAAAGATAGTGTAAACAAATTACATTTATCTTAAACTAGGGCTGAAATAATTCCTTCAACAATTGAAATATCATTCTCAAATTTTGTACTTCACTAACAGTTAACTGGAGCATATAAGATCAAAAATAGGCCACCTGCTCAAAGAACAAGATATTCAGAGAATAATTACTCTGGTGTCTATCTCTAGGGATTGTTTTGGGCAAGAGGCAGGGTACACCCTGGACAAGTCACCAGTACATTACAGGGCAACACAGAGATAGACAGGACAAACAACCACACACACACAATCAGACCTTGGGAGATTCCTTTAAAAGAAAACCAATAAACCTTTTAAAGTTTTTCTTGAATAAGTAGTTTCAAAAGTAAACAAGGTATTTGTTTTCACTATGTAGTAAGGGCCCGTTTTTATCTCGTCCCACTTTTTTTTTGTAACAATTGGACATCCCCTAAAAGATATGATAGTGATTCACTCTTTCTGCTCCAACATTTTGAGTCTGTGAATTCCCTTTGTGTGGGTGTTGCAAAGAATCTTGACTCATTCTTCCATCCGTGCTCTCTGCATATCATGGAGATGGTGTTTTCACATGGTAATCTGTTTGTTTCATCCCAGTCCTCCCTTAAGATTGCAATATTTGCTTCCTTTTCCCTTTTCTCCCTTATGTAATCGGTGGTGTTTACACCCTCTCATACAAGGGCGCAAACACCACGCCCTTATTTGTAAGGGTGTGTAAAGATTTGGAGAAGTACAGATTTTTGACTCATCTGTACTTCTATCATTATTTTAATCAACTTTCACTGGGAGCTATCCAGTATCCAAAAATATTTTTTTTTATTTCCTGATATACATAATGCCACAACTGGAGGTAGCCATGGAAATCCCAGTTATTCAAAGCAACATAGATCCTTTAATTTCTGAAAATTTATTGATCTGGGCTTTTTGTTTCTCACAACTTTCCTATGAATCTTTGACTAATTCTTCCAGTTTTTTGAATATACTATCTAATTTATTTGGCTCAAAATCTAACTTATATTGCCTCATTTAGACCTGTAACAATAAGCAATAAATCAATTAACTGCATGGTAAATTAAACAACAATCATGAAAGAGATGCTCCGCTTTAATATCATTGAAAAGCTGGCATTTTGAAAAACACTGCAAACATTTGACATCCAGTACCAATAAACTTCACTTACCAATAAATAAGTGACGTTAGCTTCACTTATTTTATACAACACTCCTAACTGCCAATTTTACTTAATTATTCAACTGTCTAATATATTAATCATTATATTAATAATGATTAAAAGTTTTTTGTTAGAAATTTCATAATCCATCTTAATTGTTTTTCTTTTATTTTTGTATATTTCAAATATTTTCCAGTACTATTGTTAAATATTCTTTAGACATTAAGTTTTTAATCTTTGATTGGGTCTACTTGCATTAAAGCTGCAGTATATAATGATATAAAAAATATATTTTTTATGTAGCTATTTGTTAGCTACACCATGTTGTGTGTTTAATATGAGTCAGATGATCTGTGAAAATATTGATCTCCTCCGACTCCTCGCGGTGCTGGAGTCGGAGTCCGACTGAATAAATGCACTGCTCATGAGAAAAACAACCAATCAGAGCCATGAGGAGGGTATTAGCGCTGTCAATCAACTTTGTGAATGTGCTGCTATATATGTTGGTGGTGGAGAAACCTATTTATCCATCTTCATGAGCAGTCATGCTTACGTCCCTTACAGGCTTCACAACAGGCTTTGTTGACAGGAAAATGAACAGCATGCAAATTGGCATGATTGACAGCGCTAAGACCCTCCTCCTGCCTCTGATTGGTTGTTTCCAAGTTAAAACTGGGAAAAGGAAGCGGAACTTAATTTTTTTCACAGATTATCTGTCTCATATTATACAGTCACAACATAGTGACAGTTTCAGTAAATGTGTAACAAAATATTTTTTCTATAAAAGTGACATACTCAAACTGTAATATGCCATTATTATCATATTCGTTGAAAATAGTCCTACTTCCAAGTTATAAGTTATATTTGGTCACAAGACTAGCCCATATGTCCGACTGACTTTTTTCAGGCATTTCAGAAACGATACCCAGACTTCTAAGTAAGTTGATGTCAGAATCCCCAAAGCTGGTTTCTTCAATATCCAACAGTGCATGCATTTTTTAAAAATTCCCCACTAAACACAATCCAAACTTACGGCCTCAGTGTGGATGGGGTGCACAGCAAACAGCAGCGTGGCCAGCAAGCTAAAAGTCTTGTCCAGGAACAGTCGGCAAACCCGCAGGAAAAGCATGCAGACGACTCCGTGCAGAACGATGTTGAGCAGGTGGTAGGAAGCCGCAGTGAGTTCACTGAAGAGGTAGTTGAGTCGGAACGTGAGCACAGTCAGTGGTCTGTAAGACTTGTGGCTCCTCTCCTGTAGACATTTTACGATTCAAAACTGAAACTTAACCAAAATATGATGCCGCAAAGGAATGCAGCGTTCAATAAATGAACCAATACTCAAGTATGCTGGAGGTAGGCCTTTAACAGATACTTGCCTCGGCCATCGGTGTTCCCCAAAAGTCATTGAGGAACAGGTTGCGCAAAGGCGTGGAGGGCCGAAGGTCCTTGTTGTCGAGGATAGCTGAGACGTCGTCAAACACAAAGCCGCATGCCAGACTGTTCCAGTAACATCCCATCACCAGCCCAGTCAGAAGCAATATCTCCTTCCATGACACAACAGCCATAGCTGACCCAAGCCGTCATGGGTCACTGTGCAAGAGACAAACCAACAAACAAACAAGGTCTGAAATTATTAAATGTAAGAACAGCAGGGAGTTTTTATTTGGGGCAGCAATGGCTGACTTCAAAATCCAAGACAACAAAATCTACTCATAAGTTTTAAAAGTAAGATCTTCGAAGAAAATGTTTAGTTTTTAAAGATAATTAATTATCCTACCAAACTAAACTTTTTACAAACATCAATATAAATGTATTGAAGGTAATTAATAACACATATTTAATACGCAAATAATACCAAACCATAAGGAAACTCTGTATATTGAGTCTAGGATTGTGGTAGCACGTTCTATGAAGACTCTTGCTCATATTTTTATTTTATTTATTTATTTATTTATTGTATGTTTTAATCATTGTTTTCTCTGACAATTATTTGGATATTGTGGAGCTAGGAAAATTTTTGCATTTACTTTTTTTTTTTTTTTTACTTTACAACAGTTGCTATGACACGTAACTGTGGTTAAAAAAAAACATTGTTTTTCAACTTGATGAAGATGATTAGCATCTTAAAAGCTTACATGATACCTGAACTATGACTCTAAATCCCAAAGTTGCCTACATATTACCTCGGAGACAATATTTACTGTGAAATCTTGGATCTGTTTCTTGAATATTGAGAAATGTCAGAAGTACAATACTTTACCTTACTAATGTGAGGCTATGTGCTATGATCTTATGAGAGGAATATGTTGTTGAAAACAAGGTCAGATTTACTACATCTCAGTGTCGAGAACTTGTAGGGAAATTAATCTTTCCTGCAAACAGTAATCAAACCACACCAGTGCTGTCAAACCCAACAACATAGCTGACACTTTATGTCACTCATTAAAGCACACGTTACTTAATTAAACGAGAAATGACGCTGTCATTATTTTTTGAAAGACGTGATACCACAAAGTGTCGAGTATTGTGAAAATGTCAGGTTCGCTAATGTCCAGTTGCGTTAGCAACTTTAGCGGGCAATGCTAATTAGGTTGCTACTCCTCTTTAAAAAGACTGGAAATGGTGGAAGTGTAATAATTTAGTTCTGCCTTACCGAGGAAATGCAAGAGCAGAGACACGAGCTCCAGTCAAACTTATCATAAAAGTTCAGAACCGTACAGACGACTCGGAGTTTTACAGTATTTCATTTATACCAACTAGCTTAAACGCACCGCAGCTATCCCTTCCGGTGCAGAGGTGAGCGCGCAAGTTGAACATTAGCCGAGCTACGAGGGGGAGGAAAAAAGAGTCAGTGGCTTGTTTGAAGTTTTAAAGCATCTGCGCGACCAGAACCGCATTAAAATGCCTTGATTTGTTTTAACGTTACACGCTTGCGCTGTCCACGAGGTTGCGCTTACTTTGTTTTTCTTTCCACCAAAAGCTCAAGGTTCGTGTCTGTTTTATTTTTAAGTAGCTGTTGTGTGAGCCGTAACCTAGCAGCAGCAGCAGCAGCCAGAACTTGACGACATGGACCTTTCAGGATAAATGTTTGCTGCTACTCTACCTGTGTACCTCAGGTTTGCTTCCGTCAAATCTGACATGCATGTCTGAATTCAACTAAATGCTTTGAATACGTCTTTAAATCAAGGCTTTAAAATATAAATCCTGTACGGCTCATTCTTAACAATGAGTAGAGTTGTTTTTGTTTCCCTATATAAAACCGTAATAATGTATTATTGACAATATAATCAAGTGGAGGCGCTCTGTCGCAGTAAGCTCACTAACGACATTAATTGACCGAATCTTTAAAAACATCCCTTGTTCAGAATGCCGCCGACTGGTCTCATATGGGATAAAGTGTCGAAAATTGATCCAAAGACTCTTGATGAATGTGAAAAAGACGAACTGGATGAAGTCTTCCACATTTTTGTTGCGGTAACTATTTATGGTTTCTATTTTACATAATATTGACATGCTCAGTGTTCTCTGCCTTCTTGATTTTAAAACGCATGCTTGAGGAATCAAAGCATTGAAAAATATGTCCTCGCAGTTTTCTTCTTTTTTGCAAGTTTGTCACACTTAAATGTTTCAGATCACCAAGTAGCAGAAATTCAAAATAAGCTCTTAAATTATAGTTCTGATTAATAAGGGTGAAAGCAATCCAATCTAACCTGGCTCCTTCTAAAAACATTAATTCCCTCCTAGGTCCTAATTGCTTATGCCGTTCAATTTAGAAGCGCCTTATGTTTTCTGGAATTAAATGACATTTTGTCTTAACTTAGATCATCTAAGTATCTTCAAAGGGTTTGGATGAGTTTCTGTGGGTTGGAAGGATTTCTGGTAACAGTCTCGCAACAAATCCTGAGATGCTTCAGTCTGAAGTCTTGCTGTATGACAGTCACATGACTGTCATGACATTTTAACATCTCAATTCCCAGACAGCAGAAACAATATGTCCAGGATGACACCATTAGTTGTTGGCAAGCACTGCTAAGCCTTCCTTAGCCTCCCTTCGTGTTGTCAGATTGGTTCTATTGATGTGATGTACTGACTTGACACATTTGACAGGAATCACAGATAAATGTGGCTGGTGAAGTTAAACTCTTCTATTCCAGGTAAGTTGACAGTTAATTCCTGATTTTAAGGAATGATGTTTTTTCACATAAGGCCAGAATGGTTTTATTTTAAAATTGCTTTAGTGGTCTGAAACATTTAAGTTTAACAAAAAACAGAAAAGTGTGAGGGACAAAACATTTTCATCTGTATAACTTGAATGGAATTGAATTCATGCATCGAACAGGCATAACATTGTGACAACTAATGAGTGAAGTAACTTCATCATGAACCCTATTTATGGCAAGTGAACATTTTTTTCCACACTTTGTGTTACGAAGTGGATAAATGGGCAAGCGTTTGATGAAAGCCAAAACACGGTGGCTTAGCCAGAGTTGAGGACTGTTTTGGTACGTGGTGGTCGAATCAAATCATCATCACATTATTAACGTATCCAGTAGAGTAAATGTATCAAACTGTTTTCACACAATATTCAAACTCTAGATGTTGGATAGAGACTTCACTTCCACTGAAGCCAACACACAATGTAGATTCTAGCAATGTTGAGGGGGGATTAGGTTAAATCATAACGTATGTCATCAATTCAGCAGAGTTTTCAACAGTAATAACTGTAAGACATGCCTTCCTAATGCCATACAAGCCCTGTTGATGTCTTATCAAAATGGATTAACAGAAGGAACGGTAGTGAACGGACAATCATGATTGCAGGGTCATGATTCACCAAGAGAGCAAGGACTGGCCTGTGTGGTCCAGTGTGGTAGACAGTGATTCAAAAGACAACACTGATATACAACTGGATAGACAACACTCTGATATACAATGGTTTGATATGAAACGGTCTGACAGACAACGTGCCGATACATGCCCTCGCTGTTGTTACCTGACCACCTCCTGAAAATCCAAAAATGGCCAAGGAGCTTTGGCCGTAGGGAAAAAAATAAAATAAAATAAATATATATATATATATATATATATAAATTCCCTTCTCACCCACCGCGGGTGGTCTTATCCTCTGAGCTCGGGTCCTCTACCAGAGGCCTGGGAGCTTGAGGGTTCTGCGCAGTATCTTGGCTGTGCCAAGGACTGCAGATTTCTGGACTGAGATGTCTGATGTTGTTCCTGGGATCTGTTGTAGCCACTGCTCCAGTTTGGGGGTTACTGCCCCGAGGGCCCCGATGACCACAGGCACCACTGTGGTCTTCACCTTCCAGGCCCTCTTCAGTTCTTCCCTGAGGCCCTGGTATTTCTCCAGTTTCTCGTGCTCCTTTTTCCTGATGTTGCAATCACTTGGTATTGCTACATCTACCACAATGGCTTTCCTCTGATGTTTATCCACTACGACAATGTCTGGTTGGTTCGCCATTACCATTTTGTCTGTCTGGATCTGGAAGTCCCACAGGATCTTAGCTCTGGTAGTATATATATATATAAAACAATCATGTCTTAGGGTTATTCCATCATCAAAAGCTTACCTAGAGTGCTGCTTTGGCTCATTCATGCATGATTGATAAATCCTTGACTTTATCAATCAGTATATAACACACTGCCCATTTACCCTAAGCTCCTCTTTAGAGCTTCATTCCCCACCCGAGCTCCTGCCCAACAGAGCACCCTTTCCCCCTTGCATCCTCCACACAGCTCCTCCAGACTAGCAGTAGCAGCAATTGACCAACAATTGCCATTCTACTCAGCTCATCATACCAGCTACTTCCTAGTTCAACACTCCAAAATTGATTGTAATTGGCATCATGGAGAAGCATTATGGTGATGACATGTGGAAGGGGGGGGTGTCTAAAAGGATAGAAGCTTCTTGAAGAGACGGAGGACATTTCAGGGCACCATACGGCTGTCACGTGAAGTCAAATTTCTTTACATTTATTTTTAATATGCACATTTTCATAATATCTGGAGATAATATAGTTGTGTGCTATAAACAAATGCATAGTTATGGAAAATACATAATACCCCCCTTTAGAAACTGATGCTCTTCTTCTATTTTTCCCGATGTTGGGGATTTTATGGTATGTGAATCATGTTTGCTTAAAGAAATCTGGCCGGGGCGTGTTATGGTTCTGACTATATTTCGCAGAGAAATCTTGTGTTGACACATACCACCCAGAGTTGTGGTCGTAATGTTATGCCTGATTCAGATGCTTCATGTAGATCAAGTTGTCTTCATTTTGGTATAAAAATATATATATATTGTTATTCTTTTAACATTATTCAGTTTCAGAGCCGCTTGGTGGATAGTTCTTACATTTGACACAGCAGCTCAACATCTGCTGAAGTCCTCACTCAGCAATAAAATCTGAGCATCTTTACTGAGCTTTGATAAGTTGAAGAAAAAAAATATCTTTGCAGATATAACAGAATATATATATATTTTTAATTTAATTTTATTTTTGTGGTTTCACCTCTTGCCATTTTCGACTGCGAGACATGTACTCCATCACTGTTATTATTAGTTTCGGTCCTGCACTGTTGAAAATCTTTCCGACTAAATCATGTTTTCCATGCAGACAAAAGAGTGGGACGTGAAGGATAAAGCCAAGGAGAACATTATACGTGTCCTCCAAGTGGGTCAGGCCCTGCTAAAGGTGTCGGGTTTTGTTGCTTCTACACTCTGCTCTCTCCTGTGCACATCTGCTCGCTAGCTCACAGGCATGATTTATTTTTGAAGAAGGAAGAAAATTTTATAGTTTGTAGTGCTGCTAGTAATGGTTGTCAGGGTTTATGGTCCTTGGTTGTAATGTTACACAGACATGATGGATGTTGGTTGGTTTTAGCTCTTCAGTCTCGTCTGTATCTCCACCTGTTAGATGAAAGAGCGTGAGGTTAAGCTCCATGAAAGCTTCATCGACGATATCGGTGTACAACACGTCAAAACCGGTTCGTAAGCACACACCGTTTGATGGAAAACACATTTTTTTTTATGAAAACAGCATGTTCATAGTGTTCCTTTTTGTTCTCTTTGTGCTCCATTTGTTCCCTAGAAAATGAGCTTCGTGCAAAAGTGTCCAGGCTGGAACAAGAGCACAAGGTAAGGCTGTGGAGCAATAGTGTATTTCAGGTAGGGATGCATGATATTTGGGTATTAACATCAATACAGTGAAGAGCTAATCTCTTGACCCTTATTTTGATTAATCAATTTGCATAGTGTAATTTGCTTAATAAGAGATTTGTCTTTTATAGAATTTCAACTGGATGAAGCTTAACTATTCCACTTGCGTTTTTCTATATTCTTAATGCAAAATGTATTTTTATTATTTTTTTGAATCTGTATGTCTTTTGAGTCTGCATATTTAATTTAAAGAGTGCTAAATTATATAACAAAAATTTCATTTATTGATTAATCACAATTAATCTGATTAATTGTTTTCAGCCCTAATCGGTATCGGTCCAACAATTAAAAATGTGTCTTGACTCTCGAGGCAATTTAGAGTTTTTTTTTTATTTTATTTTATTTTTAATTAAGTTTCTGTTCCTTTAACTCATTTTCGTTTAATTTTACAATGAAGAATTGACTGGTTGCTGTATTCAGGGAAACACATCAGAGTTTGTGGTTTTTAATGTGACAAAATGTAAAAAGCCAAAGGGGTGTGAATACTTACAGATGGTACTGGTGACCCCTCTGTCGTGAGTGTGACCTGAAACCACTTTTTCTGCCTCTTCACTTCCGCCATCAAGGCCAAACCTTTCAGCCAATCACAGAATGTAATCTTGGCTACACCAGGATTGGTTGTTGTGATCACTGCAGGAGAGCACCTAAGAAGATTATCTGCTAATTCCATGCGCAGTCTTAGCATTTACTTCTTGTTTTGAATGAACTGAAACTGAGTTACTATTATTATTATTATTATTATTATATTTGTTTTTTTCTTTTGGCTTTAGAAGAATTTGCAATCCCACTATTTGTTTTCGCAAAGAAATTAATCCTTGTTTGAGGCCTTTAACAATCACAGCTGAGCCGCACATTGGCTCTGTAAACAGAAGAAGATGATGAGGGACTAAGGTGGGGGTTGTTTTTCCTTCTTCTTCTTACTCTTCGTCTCCTCTCTGTCTCGTTTCCGATCAGCAGCTCGGCACTGGGCCAGATAGCCGCTTTCTTAGGGATGAGATTCGGCAGCTCGAGGCCCAGCTGGAGCAATGGGAGAAGGAATTGACCCAGTTAAGAAAAGACATGGGCAAGGAGAAGAAAACCAATGAAGAGGTATGAGTGTGCCACCCACAGCACCTGCATGTTTTACACCACCGCAGGAGTCTTTGGGTAACCTTCCTGTTTAGTTTCCAAACAGAATTTTTTGGTTTGTCTTTAAAAAAAATACTACATGGATTATTAGTGAACCGTATATGGATTATGTTTTGGTAAATTCCAGTAACAAAGGATTAAATCTTTAGAAAAAAACACTTTGTATTGCAAATCTTAATTTCCTCATTGAGGTAATCAGATTAGTCATTGTTTGCTTTAAGCATTTAGGCACCCTGCACTGAATACATTTCATATTAGACAGAGTCTTGTTAGCTAAGCTAACTGTGTTGAATTACATGATAGAAATGTATCTGCACATTTTGTTATGTGTTTCCTTTTCCTAGCTGATTGTGCGACTGGAGGAGGCTGAGGATCAAGTGAAAAAGTTAAAAACAGAGGTACGCAACCGCTGGGAAGCTCCATCTTTCCCTTTCATTCTCCTCTGTCCTCACCTGGTCTCACTTGCCCTCATTTCTGCCTGATTTCAAATCTTCTTCATTTGTTCTATTCTTTTGTCTGTTTCTTTTCCATTGGGACAGTTAAAAAAATCTAAGAAGAAGGTAAGAAATGTAGAAGCTGTTGTGACATAAAATTAGATCACATTAAAGAATGGAGAATTTGATTCTGTTACACACTTTACAACAATTTAGCCCATTCTGGGTCTGTTAAAGTAGCAAATGTATTCAGTTCAAAAATACTCTTATTCATTGTTGTCACTCATATCATCCAAGCATCTCCAACCAGTCATTCGCTGTACGACAGTCTCAGGACTGTCATGACATGCTAACCAGTCAGTTCTTGGGCAGTAAAGACGATAATCCACAGTAACAAGTGATGGATGACATCATCAGTTGTTGGCAAGCATTGCTAATGCCTTGTTGCTGGCGCTACAAGGTGCCATACAAGTAAAATTTGATTTATTGATTGATTGACAGTTAAAGTAACACATCTACAGAAGGTAGAAAAGCAAGTGATAGATTAGTTATCACATATCTTTTTCAAACACCTTGATGTTCTTATCTAAATTGCCCCAAAGTTCCATGACTGACAATGGCTGAAAAGTCCAAAGCAATTTTCTAAAAAGAAAAGAGTAGCTTTGACGATTTTTGTCTGGTTGTTGTTCTTCCTGAAAGCTGTTCCTGCTTTTCTTGTGCCATGGTAGAATGTGCAGCTCCAGCAGGACGTGGAGTTCTACCGTGGAGAGCTGGAGCAGAAGGAGCCGCTCACCTCCCGAGACGATGGCGCCGAGACTCAGAGGAAGCTCAGCCTGGCCAACCGCCAGCTCTACCAGTGCCTGGATGACCTGCAGGTTCACAGAAACCTCACTTACTAAATGAGATAAATTAGTATACCCTACTGATTTTTTAATGTTCTTTTAATCAAATCATCTTTTACAACTCCTTTTTTTATGACTGTCGACTCTTAATGTGCACAACATGTGTTAAACGTCGAGATATTCATTTATTGTTCTAATTTATTGTTGTTATTTTGCATCCAACAGAGAGCAGAGGATGAAAATGCACACCTGAAGACACAGAACGAGCAGCTGCAGAGAAGCCTGGAGGAGTCTGTGAAAGAGATGGAGAAGATGACAGATGAGTACAACAAGATGAAGATCGTTGTGCAGCAGACTGACTCAATTATGGACCAGCTCAGGAAAGAAAGGGATCACACGAAGCTTCAAGTAAAAGCCCGCTCTTGTTCTACTGCTCCGTGTGTGTGTGTGTTTTTTTTTTTTTATGTCCGTGTTTTGATCCCACCCTGAATCGGTGGGTGGTTTGCAAAATATGTTTCCATGCTGAAATGAGTTACGTGGTATCATTTATCATTCTTTTGGAAGGTCAAAGAGTGTGAGTAATATTATCAAAGAAAAGCTGCTGTGTCCTATTTGTTTTGAAGTAGATAATCTAATGTTTCTGTGCACCAAACTCAAGCAAGGCTTTGTGTTGTTTTTTTATGTGCAGGTTAGAGAGCTGACAGAAAAGATTCAAAGCATGACTGAAGAGAATGACCCAATCATGGCCGCTGTCAATGCCAAAGTAGAGGAGTGGAAGGTGAGTGGCAAATATAGGCAATAATGCCTAGGCTCATTCTTAATTTTTTATTTTTTATTTTTTGGACAGATATTCCTAGCAAAATTGACTCTACGGAAACCCTTACATTGCCTTTGGAGAAACATTTTGACCGCATTAACTCATGCGGCTGTGGTCAGAGGTTTACATTCTCTCATCATGGGGTATGAGTGTCATTCATTTTGGGCGTTTGATATTTTATTCAAACCATTCTTTTCCCCCAGACTGATGTGTTAACACCGCAGTAATTTTTAAAAACTGGGTGCTGAAGTTGCTTATCTGTTTTAGATTTTCTCTAATGCACACAGATTAGTCAGATTATTCTAAATAAATCCAGTTAAAGGGGCAGTATTATGTGTTTTATACGGGTTCCTGTTAACTTTAGTTGTTATAAAACATACTGTATATACCAAATATGACTTGAAAGAAATGTCACTTTCTAATTCAATGTCTTGAAATCGGGGCTCTGTCTCTTTAGAAACTGCCTTTGTAGCCATCACAACATGGCTTCAATAACGTTTCTTATCAGCGTTTCACTGAGCAGTAGCTCCGATAATGAGCTCAGCAGTTCTGCCAGGTGTTTGCTAATTGCTGCTGGCTAGTCTGAAGGAGCCGAGTTGGGGATTCGCGGCAGAGGGGTGCGCTATAATGTGGTATCTTGGAAACTGCTTCTCTGAGGAGGAGCTTCGTCCTCGAAGGTGGAACAAGGTCCAACTAGGCGTTTTGCACAAGTGAATGGTTGCCATGGGAGATTCAAGGATTTCTCAAACATGCATAAAAGAATCAAAGCAATAATCCAGGTTTGCTTTTGATTAGGGAATAACATTGTAATGTGACATAAAGCTCATAAAAGGCAGTTTTACATAAAACTGTCCCTTTAAGCCCAAAATTATTCATAAGCCGTCTGGTTGTCTTGTCCCTGGGAGTACAGTTAGAAAATGTATAACACAAAAAAAAGCCTAAAATGACCCTGGATGTGTAGTTCTTAGGCTAGCTGACAGTTTAGGTCAGCATTTTTCTTGTGTTTTATGTGTTTTAAATACTGATCGTGCTTCACCTGAGTATAACACAGCAACTTGTGGTTACTAGATAAACACGTCAGTACGTTGTTCCACTTAAAACAGGTACAAAAAGACTTGAAACACTAGGTTGTGAGGGTCCTGTCTCTCTAGTTTGCTTGATTTATAACAAACAAGCAAGTCAACTGCGGTTTAGTGAAATCTCTCCACCACCAGATCTATGGAAGCACAGGAAAAACACCAGACAGTTGTAAGTCAAATGAAATTTAAAAAATCAGCCTGGTGTATTGGCTGTTGAGAACAAAGTTGCTTTCTTTGTATTTGCCTTACTTTAATATTTTCAAGAGACAGACTGAGTGTAAAAATGTACAAATAGTTAATTTTTTTAACATAAGTTCTTATTTTTTGTCTTTTGTGATTTTATTGTATTTTGTTCTCTTACTTGAGTAAACATTAGCCTGTTGCACTGGTGATGAAATATTTTCCTCACACAGAAAGTGCTGTCTGGGAAAGATGAGGAAATTTTGGTGTACCAGCAGATGATCCGTGAACTGAGAGAAAAGCTGCGCTCTGCCCAGCTGGACTTGGACAAAAGCAACATAATTGCCCTGCAGCAGGTGTGTCCAAAAATAGCAAACAGAGGAGTCAAACATCTTCATTTATAATTATATTCTGATTCTTCCAATGTGGTGCCTCTAACAGTGCGGCATGTTGCAGAAGATGGTACAGTAAAAACACAAAAAATACATATACATATTAGGGGTGTACCAATAAATTGGGCCAGATTTTCTTGATTTTGAGTGATCAACAATCTTATATGTAAAACCAATCTTATGCTCTGATATTTTCTACCTACAGAAAGGACTGAAAATCAGTCTTCTGTGACAGACATTTGACTGATAAACCTGACATAAAAGTCACATCTGGTCATGTTCAGTTAACAATAGCCTCCCCACTGTTGGCAACTTAGTGAGTTTGTTGCTATATTTACTATTCAGACAAGAAATTACAGTATTGGCCAAAATTGAAGTTGGCAGGTCAGGTGTTTTAAAATAAGTGATCAGCAAGAAAACTGCAATCGAAGCACCTCAAGTAATATGTATAAAATATGTAGAATTAGGTTGTTATAAGATGTCAGGTAGGTTTGCTATGGAAGGCTTTGTGTTTGCACCTGTCGGTTTGTTTCATTCACATGCCACTTTCCAGTTTTTGACTTCTTTTCTTGTTTTGCCTGCATCATTACCTCTTTTTCATTTTTTTATTCTCATCCATCTGTCCTCCCTTCCTTCTCTGTCGCTGCTCTGGCCCAGGTCATATACGAACTCTGTGGTGTAAGTTCCATCCGTCACGTGTCTCTGCTTGTTTTCGTCTTAGAAGTTGCCTCATAGCGCCCACAGCGAGTCGAGTTACAACCCTGTTTCGTCCGTCGCTGAACTGTCATTATTCAGAAATGTCTGCAAATGTCCCCCCAGGCCGTCCAGGAGCGAGATAATCAGATTAAGATGCTGAGTGAGCAGGTGGAGCAGTACACAGGAGAGATGGAAAAGCACGCTCAGCTCATAGAGGAGCTGAAGATGTCCACAAACAAAGACAGAGGTGTGTGTGTCCATGTTTAAACTGACCAATCAAATGTCTTTTGTTTTAGTTATTGCCTTCAAGTTCAGTTAGAAACAAAAATGTTATTTGTGAAATTTTTTGTTACCAGATAAAGTAATTATAGTCAGAAAGTTGCTTCTTGAAAAGTATTTATTTTAGCTTGTGGACAAAAATACTCATAAAAAGCATTTTACTTTCTGTGAGGAATGACAGTGATAGAAGTGATAAGTTACAGGCTACTAGTTTGGTTTCACGGTTCGCCACGCCGGTTTAGTCTTGCCGCTCCGATTAGCGTTCTTGTCATGCAAAGTTAGCTGCCTTCAGCCAAGACATTTCTAAACGTTTAAAAAGCCAGCTGTTTCCTTCAGAAAGTGGTATGGACCCAAACACAGCTGACAAGGCAGAATGTGGGTAAAAATCTTTGTTGTATTTCTATATATTCAAGAATTTAGCAGCAAAAAGGAATTTTGGAAATGAAAATGTTGCCTAATTAATCGACTAATTGCAACTAACTAATTAGAAACCCTTTAATTAAAAACTAATAAAAAAATTTAATCAAGTTCCACCACGAGTTTGTAAATATTATTGTAGAAGCATTCCAATCTGAAAAGGGAACAGTTAAAAAACACCTTTAAAAGCCACAATTCTAACAATCATACTTTTGATGGACTTATGGGAACTTGTGACTAACTTGGATTTTTAATACTGTTTGGCTGGTATATGTAGTTTCTGTCTCAGGTGCTCCTTCGACGTTACAGCAGAAGAAGATGGAGGAGCTGCAGTCCAAATTGAAAGTCATGGAGGCCAGAGCGATGGAAGCAGAGCAGGCCTTCAGACAGGCAGAATTGCATGCTGAGGAGAAAGACAAAGCCTTTATTGAGGCATCAAATCGCCTCAGCCAGTACGAGTCTGTAAGTCCACAAATACCTTTTTTTTTCCTTCCTTTGTTTTTGGCCTCTGCTTCCAAGGCTTGTTTTTATCCAAATCGAATGAACTGACTTCTAATTTCCCAGAAATAAGGCCTGTGATTTTTTTTTTCACCATCCTTTAAATATGGATGTTAAAACGCCTATGTGACTGTGGCGTGATCAACATGCTTTTTGGGTCCACAGGCGTAGTGTTTGTTTGGGGTTTTTTTCACCAAAGCTAATGGCACCCTGACTCCTACCTCCTCTCCTTCTTTTCCCCCAAAAAAGAAGGAAATAAACAAAAAGACGAGACGTGCTTTTTTATTTTATTTATTTTTTTGACGGACAACAAATCACAGAGCTGTGTCTGTATTGCAGGGCACTTACGGCCTGGAAGCAGCCATTGCCGAGATCAAAGAGTGTAACAATCAAATCAGAATGAGAGATCGTGAGGCAGAGGCCATGACCAAAGAGATCAACCAGCTGGAGCTGAGAATCAATGACCTCATGGATGAAAACGAGGAGCTCCGGGAAAAACTAGGTCAGAGTTTTTAAAAACACCACTGTTCTCCGTCTGCTTATACAACGCTGGCTCATCTGAGGCGGGGAAATTTCTAACGAGTTCTTTTTTTGGTGGGATTTTCCGGTTGTGAGCAGGTCTGGAGCCGAAGCAGGAAGTGGATCTGACAGAATTCAGGCGCACCAGGGATCTCAGGCAGCGCCAGTACAAAGCCGAAAACCAAGTTCTTGCCAAAGAGGTAAGGCTGCGTTCAAAGGAGATCAGACTGTTGCTTTTAGAAGTGCTGGAGAGGCCTCATGTCAACACGCTGCTGGATTTCTTTTCAGATTGAGCGACTGGAAGAAGAGCGGCTGGAGCTAAAGAAACAAATCAGGCGCATAGTGAAAGAAAAAGGTGAAAGCCCTGATTTAAATAGTGCAAAGCATTTCATAATAGGCCTGTCGAAATACATCAATTAATCGCGTGATAAATTAAAACCAGCATAATAATTTCCATCTCCACGATTTGTTACTTTCTCTTTTCTTTCTCTCTTTCTACCAAAACTGGAAGACAAAAATCTTCAGTTGGGTTGGTCTGAATCATTTGAAGGACAGTTTTGCTTACAAGGACTTCATAATTAATTCAGACACATTTTTATGAACTGTTTTGTAAGTAGAGTTGAGAAACTGCAGTAGAAAATTTAATAAGATTTCAAGAGGGAATCTGAAACTAAAATATCAATCTCATCCCAGTATAATCGATTCGATGCAGATTTAGTATTGGTATTCACAATAATTTGGATTGATCTGCCTCCCTCTATGTCTTAGTTCATTTAATTGATTGCCATTTGTTAACTTCAGTGTTTTTGAGGACCAGCAATAGGCTATAAAATAGGTCTAAAAATAGTTTTGGTCTCATTTTGAAAAAATTTTCTCATTTTGTTCACTTTTCTGTTGGGATACTGAGCTCCAAAATGCAAGAAAATACTTAGAATAAAACATGCACTGTTTTCACGTTAACATTCCATATGCCGTTCAGCATCTCTGTGAACTGTTTCACATTTTGTCATATTACAACCACAAGCTTAAATATACTTTTATTGAAATTTTATGTTGTAGAACACAAAGTTATGCATAACTGCGACATGGAAAGGAAAGTATGGATGGTTGTTCGACGAGTTTTTTAAAAAATATGAAAAGTTTGATGTCCATGGTGGTGATCTGGACATTTTATGGCAACTTTCGGTTCATAGGAAGCTGCAACTGAATCCAATGAAAGGTTATGGGTTCTGAATAAAATCAGAAAGCGTGAAACTGAATCTCTAGAAAAAACAGGAAAAATTAAGATGCAGTTGTCGATTCTTGAGAAGAAGTGTGCTACAGCTGCTTAAAATTTTCATTTTTACACTTAAACCACTTAACATTTGTTTCTGGTTATCAGCTGTGCCTACTGGAATCCCCCAGTCAATTGATCAGCTGGAGGAAGATGTCTGGTCCAGCAGAAAAAAAGAGACACAAGAAAGAATTTACACTGATGACGAGCTCAGACGAAAGGTAAAACCCATTGCTCTTTTTTCCTATAACAAAAATTGTTGGGATAAAAAATAGATTTGTTCATTTATGTTCATATTTCAGCACCTAAACATTCAGAAGTAAGTTCACAGCTCCCACCTAAATTAGTTCTTGCTCATTTGTCATTTGTCGTCCAAAGTTTAGCCGCCTTGCATTAGTAGAATGTCTTGTATCTGCTTTATTGTCTCTACTTACATAAAAGCAGAATTACTAGAACATCTGCTTTCTGTGTAAAACGGGGTAGAGTTAGGATTATTATTTGGAGATTGCAACTTCAAAGGTGCTCTGTTTAAAATGATGACGTGTAAGCATTTATTGCATCATTTATCATGATAAAAAAATTTCACAATAAAATATTTTCTGATTTATCCTTCCAATTAATTATATTTAAATTCCTTTTTTCCCCAAAGAACTATTGGGATTGTTGCTTTTCCTGTTTTCGCCGTCATCTTTTCATCAAGAACATCAATAAATGTCAGAAAATTTAAAAATATAAATTAATGGAGCTACTGTGTGCAGCTTAGTGATATGAACCACACCTGTTATGTGACTGGTGTCCTGAAAAAAGAGCATTACACACTTATCCAAGAGCAGCCTTTGTGTTTCATGTGATCATAGTCACAGTTACCAAAAAACAAGTAATAAATAATTTACACTGTCACTTTTATCTCAAAAATATTATGATCCAATTTTAAGTTTGTCCAGGTTTTTATTCAAAAGCTCTCAGACTTATAGAATAGGTTAAAGTGAGGGAATAACATCATACATATATTTCACTTCATCTGTTTCTCTGACATTAACTTTGCATTGCAGAATGAATACCTAGAGAAAGAACTGAGCAGCAAGAAAAGGGAGCTGGAACTTCACAAGTCTGATTTTCAGGCTCAACGTGAGTTTGAGATGCTCTCAGAGAAAATACGCTGTTGAATTGAATTAGTAAACAGCGTATTGACTGTCTCAAAGGGCCATTTGTTTGCTTTTGTCCATGTGTGTCACGGTGTGTCCATCTACAGTGGCAGACCTGTCCAAAGCAAAGAGAGACTTGGAGGCTACGCTGAAAGATGTTCTCCAGGCCATGAGGACTAGTCAACAGACCGGTTCTGATTCTGCTAGCAGTATGAAAAGCTTGTCTAATGTTAGTATCTAAAAAGATTGAGATACAGTTCTCGACTTAATTTTTTGTCCTCTTACAGCTACACAACTATGTCTGTTATTTCCTCACCTTCCTGAATGTCTTTTTTTTTTTTTTTTTTTTTTTTACCAAAACTGATTTTGTCAACAAAAAAAATCACCACCTCTACATTTTCAAAAGATGTTTTCAGCAAAAAAAAAAAAAAAAAAAAAAAAAAAAAGGACCATAATTTTTTGAAGGTTACAATATTGAAAGTAGTGTGCTAAAAATAGCGACAAAGTTGCTAAGCTAATAACAGTTCGGTTAACAATAGTCACCTCACTGTTATCAGTTTACTGACTTTGTTGCAATTTCCAGGTGACAAAAAATACTTATTTTTCCAAATTCGGAAGGTTTAGATTTTTATTGTAATTATTATTATTATTATTATTATTATTATTATTATTATTATTATTATTATTATTATTATTATTCAATACCAAGGAAGCAAATTTGACAAAAGTCAGAATTTTTAATGATGATGTTGGCGATCGGTCAGAAAACTGCAATTGGTGAACCCGTATTGGGCTCAGTTGGTTTCGGTGTGTCCGATATTACTTCTTTTTTTAATTTTTTATTTTTATTGAATGTGACAAAGAACCAAAAAAAGACAGAAGAAAGCCCTGAGCCTCTTTGTTATCTCTGTCACTTGGTAACTCAACTCAAAACAAAAGCAGAAGGACATAAAAATAAAACAAATGCACCAGATTGTGAGGCAAAATTTGTAGTGAGGCACGGCAGAGGAGGATACTGGAATGGCACTGCAGCATCAGACATGTGCAGCAGGAATTATCACAAGTAGATCAGATAGAAGCCACATTGCTGGCAGATGTTGGAAATAATATTTAACAGAGAACAAAATGTGCCCTTCCTTTGAAGTTCATGGGTGTGCATTTCTTGTAAATATAAATCTGATGATTATAGACGTGTTATTCCGAGGAACATTTAACACTTGAAGTGAATGAAAATGATTTTTAATGGCTTGTTCTTCCAGGGAGAACTGATTTAGAACCGCAAATTTTCTGGCCAATCTGAATTTATTTAAGATTTTCTCTAATCTGACAGACCCAGAATTTATACACAGGCTAATAATGTGTGTTTTTAATGGTTCTAGAATGTCTTTTGACTTGAGAAGGCCTATCAATATCTGGTGAGAGATCATAACTGGCTGCAGCTGGAGGTTTCTCTTTATCATCCTAAAACTCCAGTCACAGGGTGTTTTTTATCACATTTGTCGCAGACTTTAACCAGGTCTGATGTTAATTAGCCAGTTTTTAACCTTTTTTTATCATTAGAACTCAAAATCTCATCATCAGATCAGTAAAAATGTCTCTACCAATCATTCCTTTAGCCTCCCACTTGCACTGAATTCTTGTTCTGAACTGCACAGCACAGAGGAAGTATAGCTAAATCATTTGTCAGCACAAACACATCCCCTGGTTTTACCAACCCTTTTCTTCTTATTGTTTAAATCAACATGAAATGTTTGCTCATGGTCCGCAACCTGAACTAGTGGATTTCAGATCGGTACTAACAGCCTAGTTAAATACAGTGCATGGAGTAAAACCTCTCAACTGATGACAGTGAAGTACCCATGGTGAATAAGAATTCAGTTAGAAATTAGAGATTCAGTGTAAAGTAGTGGGCCTACTTGAAAACAGTGATGAATGCACTGCAAAAATACGACATTTTACCAAATGTTTTTGTAGTTTAATTATAATAAAACACTTGAAATAAGGCAAATAGATTTTTTGTAACGACTCTGCTGCAGTAATCAATGCGACTAAACTCATCTATGAGTTTCTCTAGACTTTTCTAAGGTATTAGACATTCCTTTAACCGTAATGTTCTTCAGGTGATAGGAGACCGACTTTGTAGCTGTCTTTACATGACTCTGGATGTTCAGGTCAGAATCCATGATTACAGAGATTTCGGACATGATTGCGAGTTTCTAGCTGTAGTTACTGAAGCTGTGAGCTGACGCTTGATCGTTTTGCGTTAGATCAAGAAATAATAACTTCTGCTCTGCCTTGGACGCAGCGGTATGACGAGTTTTTCGCCATACTGATTATTACATAAAATACACCTGTTCTGAGGACGATCGATGATTGGAGCTCATTAGTCACAAAGCTATGGATGACTGGCTGTGCTTTAAATACAAATGTCTGCTAATTTTTGTCAATATTTTGCTGACATCAAAAAACAGAATCTTGCAATTGCTGTGTTTTCATTAAGTAAGAAATGAAATCAAAATCACACGTGAATAAGCTTGTTTACGCAAATAAGTCATTTAAAATTATTGCAGCGATAGGTGTAAGCAGTTACATGAACTATATTCTTATTCAGCCATGGGTCTAGCACTCATCTGCGTTTTGGGAAAACTGTTTTACAAAGGAGCTATGAATTCAACACACTAGAATGTCACAAGCTTTTAGTAAACTGTGTGATGCTGAAAGCTCTAGTGGAGATAACTGGGCATTGTCTGAAAAAAAACAAACCAAAACAAACCATCATCCTCCTGTCATTTCCTTTTTTCTTTTTTTTGTCATTTTTGCCCATAGTAACATGCGGCTGTTGGTTGCGTGCAATGCGAAAAAAATGTCTCCATTGCAGCTTTGCAAAAATACATCTGTTTCTATGCGGCTGAAAAACAACTCATCTTTGTGCAAAACCATTTTATCAAAACATGGGAGTTTTTTTCAAAATACGTTTCCCTAAAGCTAATTTGTTTTAGTAATTTAAATTTGCACAATAATGTGGTTAATAGAAACGCAGATAGTGAAGACTTCCTAGTTTTCCAGCAACACAAATAGTCACGGCTCCCCAGACTGAATTACTTAAATGAATATCAGATCAGCACACACATTGGTCAAGAGGTAGAGCAAAATGTCCGCAATGTTGTAAAACCTTTACTGTGTGATGGTGGTTGGTAAAACTAGACCACAATTAAAAGGTTGAAATTTACTTGTCTGTTATGTGTGTTTTCAAACGTCCGACTGGAAAGGCTTCAGTTGGTGTTTATGTGCTGCATGCTAACGGTTCTCTCTTTCTCTCTCTTCGTCTCGCCTCAGGCTTTACATGTGAGCAGCCTTGGTGGGCAACCTGAGACTGACCTCAACTCTCAAATCCATCAGCTGGTGGGCCGAAACGAAGAGCTGAGGCAGGAACTGAAATTGGCTCGAGAGGAGGCGAGCAGCAGCTTCAGTGACCTCGTCAGAGCCAAAGAGAAGGTACGATGAGGTGAAAAAACACCGGAGCCCACAGGAATGTTTTTATTTTATTGTTTTTATAGCCTAGAATGTCACTCTTTGGTTTTCGGCTGTTGCCAACATATGCTGGGTTCCTTTCACTTAACAAGAGAAAGGAGGTAAACAAACCCGTGTTTTGGCATTTTGTTTATATTCGGTTTAAAAGTTCTAAAATGTGAAAGTCTGAAGCAAATAAACTTTTAATGAAGAACATCTGCCAGAAAACACTGCTTGCCAAATGCTTGTGAGATTCTTGTGCTTGACAGAAGAAATGTTGAGTATTAAACCGTTTTTTTTGTTTTGTTTGTTTTTTCATGTAGCATGAAAAAACTACATTTAAATACAAATGTCTGCTAATTTTTGTCAATATTTTGCTTTTCCTGCCATCACCATTGTTGTTAAAAAGTCAGTTTTCCTCTATTGTGGTCTAAAGGTTTGGGATGTTCCAGAATGCTTCTTCTATTTTTCTCTAGAACTTCCAGAGGATCCCACAGATATACATTAAACAACAAATTTGGATGAACAACGTCATAAACGAAAGTTGGTTGTGTTGAAATGCTTGACCGATGGGTTGTGTTTTGACGCCTTCGTCTGTCAGGTGAGCCATCTCCAAACTGAGCTGGAACAGCTCAGGCAGTCAGGCAGAGGTGGAGTTCTCCCTCGACCTCTGACCCTCCCCGAAGGCCTGGGCCCCAGCAGCACCGAGGTCATTAGCTCCTTGAACGAGTACGCTGTTCGACTGCTTCAGGTCCGACCTACTTTCTTCTCAGTTTTCCGACTTCAATAACTAAACTTTCCTTTTAGTTACAATTCCTTTTAGAGTCCTTTTAAAAATCCTCGTCTACTCTTGTTTAGGAGCTGAAAAACAGGGAGGAAAAAAGCAGGAAACTTTTAGAAACCCTGGAAGAATACAAAGAGAAGTTTTCTGTCATAAGCCATCAACAAGGACTCCTCTATAAGGAATATTTAAGGTAGGCTAACATGACTAATTTAGAAGGCAAACTGTTGTAATGAGCTGGTGGTAAGGATGTTGTTCTGATTATTAGTGAAAAGGCAGAGTGGCAAAAAGAGAAGGAGACATTCACAGACACAAAGAACAAGCTGGATGAGCAAAAGCAGGTGGACGATGTGAAAATTCAGCAGTTCAACGTAAGTCACACAAATGAATTGCTGGAACATGAATAGAAATGTAATTTCCTACTTATTTTCTTTTTTGTTGTTGTACACCTAAAAATGACAACATCATTCATGTTAGAGTCAAACTGTATTGCTGAATATTTCTTTTAAACAAAAACAGGAACGACATCTTAAAGTGGTTGTGAGCTACGGAGTCAAACCAGAGATTAAAAATGTATCAAGACGAAGACAAAATGATTCCATCTAATCTTAGCATCTCATCTTAGCATTTAGCATGTTTAGCAATGCTACTGCTACTTCTACCTGAACAGTGAGACTTCCTAAAGACTCCAACATCTCCTAATCCATTTTGTTTTGTTTTATAAAGAATTGCCCCTTTGCTGGAAAACTTTCTGCTATCTGGTATTGGCTTATGTCTTGCTGTCTCTTTATATGGCAGCCTGATTAAACAGTTGAAAATGCAGTTTCCTTTTGAATTACTTCTGTGCTTTCTCCAACTTTATTTTTATAACACCTCACTGATGCTGAAAAACATCTAGCATCTTTCTGTAGCAGCTCTCACTTCAAGGAAACTTCCATCAAAATTGGTTGATTGCATTTCCCAAGCGATCAATCAGTGCGCCTTTGTTTGTTTGATTGATGTAGGCTTTTTTTTATTATTATTTGACATTATTAAGAACATGTAGTACTGAACTACCCCTGAGAAAATTTCAATAGATTTCTTTTTACTTTTGATAACTTGAAACATACATGAGAAGACGCTCATCCCCCAAGACTTACTGCACAGCTTGGATTTCACAGATTTCAACATGCGCCGCAACTGAATCTCTGTATTTGTACGAGTCAGAACAAAAAAAAAAAAGAAATGTGTAAGAAAACAAGCAACGGCACACGCGAGCGAAGAAATAGTTAGAACCGTGACGTTAATTTCGCGTGTGTTTTGTCCGTCAGGAGCTGCTGGACACACTTCACAGAGACCCCGAGGAAATCAGGAGGCAGCTGAGCGAGGCATTCCGCAAGCTGACCATGCTGAGGGTCAACGAGAAAAAACTGACGCGCCGCTACTCCACTCTGCTGGAACGGGAGCAGCTCCTCCGCAAGGAAAATGGCAAGCTGAGGGACGAGAGCAGCCGCATGCAGGCCTCTGTCCTCCAGAGGATGGGCTACCTGCAGAGGTACAAGGTACGCACTTCCTGATTTATCTGTTTCACTGTCAAATGGGGGCAAATCAACTGGAAAACACTCAAAGCTCACAATAAAAACACAAGTACAAGAGGAATTCTGATACTTGGCTCAGCATTTTCTGCGTCCTCTTTAATTTTGCTTCCCGTCATGGAAGAGAATATCTTTGCCAAATTTCTCGTTCTGCATCTTATCAAAAAGCTTTTTTTTTTAGTTTATGTTTGCAGGAAGGATTAGGTTGCCCTCCTCCATCCTGAACCCCACCATAAATCTTACATTCGATCCAATAGAGCAGACATGTTTTCCTCAAAGACACCGTCTGGAAGTTGCTTTGGCTCATCGTGCTGGAACGCTTGCTTGATCCTCCTGATAGTTTGATGATGTAAATCATCAGGCGTTAGTTACACTGTCGTCTTCCCTAACACCTCCAGTCGTACGCCTCTCAATCATTTGGCTCCTACCTTGACATGGAGTGTTCTGGACGCCAGCTCAGGCCAAGCTCATTTAGCTCAGCGACTTTTGACCAGAAAATGTTTCTCCTGATAGCCGCCAGGTTTCTTTTTATGTCTTTTAGTGAAGGTAAACTCAGAAGAGTTGTGGACACAGGATTGCAGTGGAACTTTGTTTGGTTAATTTGGTATGCTGACAGGGTGAAGTATGTGGCAGCATTTGTTGCTCTGGTGATTGATTCATAGCTGAATGACCAAGTCTGTTACCAGTGTGCCAGGATACTGGTTAATCCAAGGGAAGTTTTAAAACTGTTAATTTTTGTTTTGCCTCTTGTCAAACCGATTCCAGAAGTTAAGAAGCAATAAAAAAAATACGTTTTATTTTTTTTTCCCCTAAAACCTCTTTTTATTTTTTAAGTAAAAAAAAGTATATTAAAAAGTTGGGGGATTTTAAGTGCAACACAAATTTAAATGACTTGTAAATTTGGTCTAAAAGCAGCTGAACTTAACAGTCATAATTTGAGGAACAGATAAAATATTCTCTGCAATGTGGAGTCTGTTTTAATAAGCCAATGCCCATATCTGATTTAAGCAGATTTATTGGTAGCCCTGGTGATGTCAGTGCTTTGTACAACCCTTCTTAGACTTCTCCTGTAACATTTTTTATACAATTAACTTATGCTTCTCTGGACAGTGGGCCTCATCATATGTTGTGTTCTCCTTAGTTTATGCTTCATATTTTAAATACAGTATAGGTTCAAAGAAGAGTTGACCACAGAACAGGGTTGATTCTGCGTTTAACAAATTCCGTTTGATTTAGCAAAATTATTGTTTTGCTCAAAGATCCACTTTTCCTTTTTCTTCTACAGATCACCACATTTCTATTTAAACAGATCATCTGTGTTAGATTGTGACATCAGGTCCGGAGTGCCTGCTACGTCACGTTAACAAGTTGGTTTTTCACATATTCATCCTTCGTCATGTGTCGGAAGTAGCTGAAATGCTTGTTATTAAAAAGCTTAGCTCACTAAGTCTCATTCATTGATGGTGACTCCAGTTTGAGACGCCAACTTGAGTCACTTGTAAGATGCAAAAAGAAACAATTTTATATTGTTGATGGATATTTTGGAAATTGTAAGTGTCAAGAAAAGAACTTAAATTCTTGCTGTTTTTGTAAGGCAAGCCACGCTAACTGCTAATTTAAAAAATACATTCATTGTAATTGTGAACTCTGATGTCATTGTTGGTATTTTTGATGACATCCAAGGAAACCAAACTTTAGCAATGGATTGGACTTAATATTTGGTTAAAAACTTAAGAAAGCAACTTCATTTACCAGAGGGTTTCCAGAAACCCATTGGAAGCCAATTTGTTTCCAATTGAATAATTTTGACATGAGAACCAAGGACATGTTTGCTGTAACCCAAATCCACCAAGTGTCATGATTTGGGGACGGTTTGCTTCAACAGGACTTGCTAAGCTTACCTTCATATAAACCACCATGAATCCTGTTGTGTAACAGAGCTTGAAGAAAATGTAAGAGCATTTGTAAAGATGTTAAGCTGATTGAAAACTGGAACCACTATGTACTAGTAAATCCACTGAAACCTGCCTGGGAATTAAATGGAAAGTCCTGATCAGAGTCAGACCCCAGGTGTTGGAGTTATTGAGAGGCTTTAGGATATCGCAGTTTAAACTTATAAATTTGGCAGAGATGCCAACTCTTTTTCAAATTGGTTTTGAAAACAAAACTCTTACTTTTAGAGTGTAGAGTGATTTCCTTGAATTCTTCTCTATCCCTGTGTTCCAAGAATACTCTTTGGATGCCACTCAGCACATCTAATCTGTTCCCCACACCATCATCATCTCACTCAAACTCTGATGATGGTCATGAATAACCAAAACAAAAACTGATATCTGAAGAATCCAGATGTCTTTCAACACTAGCGATAATGAGTGCTGTGAAAGCACTCAGGAAGTTCGGGGAGAGCCCTTAAACGGCACTCACGTCACCCAGGATCGTCACATGGTCCCGAGAGTGTCTATGAAAACGTTCAATACAGTCCACCAGGGCAGCCAGAAATGTAACCCAGCACTTCACAAATCTTTATGAGGGGAACTCATTCATCTGGTCCGCTCGAAAACACACTGCAGGCCACTGGGTTTACGTTCTGCTTTGATGGGTAAAGAGATGGGAGACACGTCTTCTGTGGTTAAATGGCGTCACAGTTTTTGAGAGGAAAAGCTGATTGAGTCAACAGGGATGAGAAATATCACCCCCAACCTTTGACCTATGGCCACTGACTTAGGCTAAATGTGCTTTCTCTTTACAAGCTAAAATACTGGAAGGAAGCAATTCACCGTCCTGTTGTGTGTGGCCACTGAATAGTTAAATCAGTAGTGACTGTAAAGCATTGTTACACGATTTGTCTTTTTAAAACAAGTAAAAAAGTTATGCCATTGACAGTTTACCATTGAATCAACATCTCACCTTTTTTTTTTTTTTGTTCGAAAGGAAATGGCAGCCTATAAGATAACAGCCCTGCAGAAGGCCTTGGATGACAGCGTGCCTGCATCAGAACTTGAGAGAGCCAATAAGCAGTACACCGAGCTAACAGTCAAATACAGAGATGCGCTCCAGAAGGACAGCCTACTTGTACAGAAAACATCCAGCCTCCAACATTTAGAGGTACTAAGACATATTACCAACTCAAAACTTTCCTCTTTAACCAACAGCTACTCTTTCACTCCTTTCAGTGTCCTTGTTCATCTTCGGATTTTTGACTCTTTCTTGCAGTCTTTCAAAGTAGTTTTGAACACCACTTACAGTTTTCTGGAGTTTATTTTCATTAACGTTTTTTTAGTTGATTTTGGCAGCTTTTTCACTCATTTACTTGCCAAGTTGTAACCGTCCAAGAGTTTGTGGGAGGACGTGTAAAGATTCTAAATAAATTTAAAGCTGTGTGGCAATTCTTGTCTTTAGAACTGTATTTTTGTTCCGTCAGTCAAACCAGAAACAACTTCTACTTCGTTTACTGTTGTCCTAACACCATTCCTTATTGTGTAACAGCTTCCTCTGCACCAAAACTGTAATTCATCATGTTAATGTCAAGATATTTCCAAATTTGTTTTGAAAAAGCTGCAAAAGTTGAGCATAGAATGTTTGACATACCTTCTGGAAAACTTAAAGAACTTTTAATCAAGGCTGCTTTAAGAGATTACAAGTGACTTTTCGGTGACATCATAGCAAGTTACATTATTTGCAGTGCCGTGCTGAACTCCTCCAATGCATCTCTGTGATTCTGTCCAACATCCCAGAGCGAAAATGAGTCTCTACAGGAACAAATCTCTGCCGTCAATAAGGAGCTGGAGATCACGAAGGAGAAACTCAACACGTTGGAGCAAGCATGGGAGACCGTTGGTTCAGTCGGTAAACAAAAAGAGGGAGCTCACTCCAGTCATTTGCATGTTAAAAAAAAAAAAAGAAAGATATTGTCTATTTTGTTTACTAGGAATTTTAAAACGTGTTACAAAACTATTTGTTCTGCATAACAGTTGAGACATTCAGTTGCGACCGAACGAGAGTTTCGACACAGCTTCCCTTAGCTGTGCAGCACAAATCCTTCAGGGGTGAAATCTGAGGTCATCATTGCTATAAACAAAACAGTTGCAGGATTCTGCCGATGCCACATAACATGGCCACAGCAGAGGTTTCCCACAAGGGGAGATGACAGTGTTTACATCTGTGGAATCACAGTTCTGCTGCCCTGTCTGCAACCATTGCTGTGATAGGCTCGGTGGTTGCAAGGCGGCTTATGTACATTTAGCCGCATTGTTGGCATTAATTGGAGTGTGAGCTGTGGCTCAACTTGTTATGACGTTTTTGTCACAACAGTGAGGATGTCAGGTTAAGAGTCATTATACGCGCAAGGCCACTCTATAGCAATTGCATCTAAAACTGCAGTGCTTTGCAAAACTGTTGACGCTGGTGGAAATTGTAAAAAATCAAAGTAGATCATAATTGTGACATGGAAATAAAACCATATGTGCTTCTTTCTTTAATTCTCCTAAAAATCTAAAATCCAACTCAACCTTCTCTCTCTTTTTTTTTTGTAGAAGTCATAGAATTAGCAAATTGAATCCTCCTGCTTGTAATGCAATCTCAGTATAAATCAAGGCATTCTGTGAAGTCCTCAGAGGTTTGTTAGAGAGCATTAGAACAAATAGCTCTGAGAAAAGAGCAGGAAACGCACCAAAGCAAATCAGAGATAAAGTTTTTGACAACATATTACAAAAGCTCTGTTTTGTAAGATGTTACAAAACAGTCAAGCAGAACTGACAGGTCAGAAAAGTTGAGCAATAGTTAAAGAAAATGCCGAGAGTAATTCCAGAGCTTCAAAGTTCAGGTGGGAACAATGACAATGAGGTGATTTAAATTAAAGAATATTCAAATCCTTCAACAGTCTAGTCAAATCTCACCAGGAATCTGTAGCAAAATACAAAATGGAGGAAAAATAGAAGGTTTTAATCCAATCTGGTTGCGCTATATCTGTTTTGCAAAGAAGTATGGACACACAGTGGGTATGGAAAGTATTTGGACCCCTTTAAAATTTTAACTCTGTTTTATTGCAGCCATTTGCTACAATAAAAAAAGAAAGACTTCTCCTGAACGTACACTCAGCATCCCATCTTGACAGAAAAAGCCCCAGAAATGTTTACATTTTTGCAAATTTATGAAAAAAGAAAGAACTGAAATATCACAGTCATAAGTATTCAGACATTTTGCTGTGATGCTCCATTTAACTCACATGCTGTTCATTTCTTCTGATCCTCATGGATCATTTCTACTCCTTCATTGGAGTCCAGCTTTGTTTAATTAAACTGATTGGACTTGAATAAGAAGGACACATACCTGTCTAAATAGGACCTCACAGCTCACAATGTATGTTAGTAGCAAAATTTGAAGGGGTTTGAATACTTTCCATACCCACTCTACATCAAAGCAGTTTTAGATTTTGTTGCCATGAATGCTTTTGTTTTGTGCTGATGGCTTTTTTTTCCTACCATCTTTTAAAGTATTTATTTAGGAGCGAGATTCTCAAACTTTTGAGTCCAAAAATAGGGCCGGAAAGTGTCGACGCCATGCTGGCAAACCCCATAAAATACATCTAACTAATTCACTCTATTTATTTGATAAATGCATACAGAGTGACAAAAATCATATCCATTTTTAAACATGTTTTTTTTTTTACAATGACATTTTGTTATTTGATTTTATCATGTAAGAAATCTTAATTATCAACGAATCAAATATTGACATAACTGTCATCTAATATAGTAATTGATTAATTGTTGACTAGAATATACAGAGTTGAAAAGAAAGGTCATCTGCTGGAAGAACAACATATTTAAAGCGGTGATTAAGTCAAAACTGCACAAAAATGCTGCATGCATATTACATTTAAGATACAATAAAAAAAAGTTATTTTTCTGTAAATATGTTTTATAGATAAGAACTCAAGTTGCAGTTTTTGCTTCACTTGCTTCAAATCTGTAAAAAAAAATAAAAAATCTCCTTTTAAGCGCCTTTTAATTTCCAACTATTAATCAGTTAATCCAAAAAATGATGACCGGATGAGCCCTACACCCTGTAACGATGTGAAGTCGAGCCGAAATGCCTGAGCTTTTCACGTTAATAATAGAAGTATTTGTTTTAGTTGCAGATTCATCTTTTTTTACAAATGACCAAGTGTAAATAAAATGTTTAGTTTCTTATTTTTTTAAAAATAAGTTATTTGCTTTCCCTCCATCTTTAATGTTTTTCTGGCAAAAGGCAAAAGGGTTAAGAGGTAAATCTTTACCAGGATGTGTCATTTTTTAGAAAAATCTGTTTTCTAAAAATACAATAATCGATAGCTAAAATAATCATTATTACCTCAATGTAAATATTTAATTGGACATGTATTGGAACATTCATTTATGCCATTGTGCATTCACAATTCATTATCTTATGATGTAGTTTTAACTTTTCTGGCTCAATAAACCATAGGGGGTCACATCATGAAGTATTTGAAAATCACCTTTTGACCCCCAAATGAGTGTCCCGCGACCCGCAATGGGGTTCCGACACCCCCCTTTGGGAACCCTTGAATTAGGGTATATGTGCCAAGTTTACTTTTAACCAAACTTTCCAGTTGTGTGCTACTTTATGTTGACTTGTCCAAAAAATCCTTATGAAAAACATTTGCACTTGTGGTTGAAACATCAAAAATATAAAGTATAGGGGGGTAAAATATAAAATATTCTTTTTTTTATTCAAAGTTTTTATTCTTGAATTTATTTATTATTTACATCTAAAAATATCACTACTTTTTTGAAGAAAATATATTAAATTAGACTTTTTTTTTTTTTGATGTTTTACAACCTTGACAGTTAATTAATGGTTCCACCTCGTTGAAACCACTGTTTTTTATTCCTCAGGCTCTGAAACTGGCCTGGTCAAAGGAGACAGGGCATCGATCAACAACGAGGCGATATCCGCTGCAAGAAGGATCACAGCTTTAGAGATGAAGGAGCTGAACGAGAGGCAGAGGGCCGAGCATGCCCACAGAATGTATGAACACATGAGGAATTCCCTGAGACAAGTGGAGGAGCGCAACACAGAGCTGGAATCTAAGTTCTCAGAGGTAAGAGACCAAGGAAAACATCAGGTTATTTATTTTTTTCTCCCATCTGGCTCTTGATTCGTACCAGTCAACACAATCAAGTGATAAACTACTCTAAATGGTATTTGCATCACCTGGCAGGCTCACTTTATTATCTAATAAGTGTGTTTTTGCATTATAAGTACAGCAGAGCCTATGCAGAAAGACGTTAATGTCACCATTAAGGCTTATCTCTTGCTGAAAAGTCTCAGCTTGAGTCCAATCGTCTGTTAAACATCACTTTAATCGCTTTCATCCAACGCTTTGTTCTGCTCTAGCTGACCAAGATGAATGTGGAGGCCCAGCGGATCGAGCGTGAGCTAAGAGATGAGCTGGCGGGCGCCAGCAGCAAAGCCGCCAGCGACGCCGACAAGGCCAGGATCACAGAGCTGGAGAAGGCTGAGGCCGAGCTGCGCCTCGAGGTCTCCAAGTGCGTCTTAAAAGCGTCGAGTTGTTTTTCCGTTCTTGATCGCTGCTGACTTTGGTAATTAATTGCTGAGGGGAACATGTTTTTGCAATCCTCACAAAGATAAGATGGTTCCTGACTGGACATGGAGAATTTACCTTGGGTAGGAATCAACGCTAATAGATTGATTGATATCATGACTTTACCAGTCTCTCAATAGGTTGTTGTTAAAACTGCAAAAAAAAAAGTAATTAATTAGGATTGGTGCGGCTGTACCTGTTAGAGACATCTGCATCCAGCTGAAACACTTCAGGTTTAGTCTCACCTTTTGCCCTTTCTCATCTTGCTGGTAGTAAATCCATTCGTCTATCTTAACTTTTATTTATGAGTGAAGATAAATTTGAGAAGTACCAAGCGGTGCGTGTGTATCTTTCTTCTGCAGGTTGCAAGAAGTCTCAGATGTGGCTTTGTCTCAGGTCTCCGCTCTGCAGGCCAGACACCAATCCAAAGACAATGAAGTCGAGGCTTTAAGGAGACAAATACTGGATTACCAGGTAACCAGGATTTGCTTTTGTATCAAAAAACGTTAAAAGTTGGCAGAAATTTCAAAAATACTCAGTTATTTATGTAATTGGAAGAGATTTTTGAGAATACTCAAACGCACAACTGTAGTCTTTAAAAAGGTGAACACATAAAAATACAGTTAAAATAAATATTGTTTTTTGCTCTACAGTTAATTTCTAATGAGGTAATCAGCCAGTGGATCTTAAAACAAATTAAATAAATCAGAAGAAATATCCCCCAATAAGGACAATGATAAGTACCGTATTTGTTTCTGGGCTTCCACCTCACAGAGGAAGCCTCCACCACAGCGACTCCTCATAGCTCCTTCAGACTAGCCAGCAGTAATTAGCAAACACCTGGTGGAACTGCACATCTGCTGAGCTCATTATCAGAGCTACGTCTCAGTGTAATATTGGTAAAAATGTTGCTGACGGTTTAACAACATTTTTACCATGTTGAGAGCCATGTTGAGATGACTTCCTGAAGGTGGAGTTTCACAAGGGACAGGAGCTTCTGAAAGAGAAAGGGGGCCAATTTCAAATTACAAAGTCAAATTTTCTTTAAGTGATATTTGATATACATAAACAGCATTTTAACACTGTTGTATATATGTCACATACAGCAATTTTATTGTTTTATACACAATGCAAACCGTTCTCATTTTTCCTCAGTCTCAGTCGGATGAGAAGGCTCTGATAGCAAAGCTCCATCAACACATGGTAGCGCTGCAGCTCAGTGAGTCGGCGGCTCTGGGGAAGCTGGAGGCCGCCGCCTCTCACATACAACGACTGGAGGCCAACATGCTGCGCGCCGAGCAGCGGCTGGATGCCAGCGAGCGAGCGCTCTTCCTCGCACGGCAGGAGGGCCGCCACCGTGCCACACACCTCCGCCAGACCGTCCAGGCGCTCCGCAGGCAGTTCGCCGGGGCGCTGCCCCTCCGGCAGCAGGAGAAGTTCTCCCTTGCCATGCTGAAGCTCCAAGAGGACCAAGCCAAAGCCCAGGAGGAGAGGAGGGCAGCTGAGAAGGAGAGGCGGAGGGCAGAGGGAAAAGCCCAGGAGCTGGAGGTGAGACTGCAAGGCCTGGAGGAGCTCATCTCTACCCTGAAGGATGTGAAGGGGGCCCACAAGGTCAGTGAGCGGGGAAAGAAAACCAAAAAAAACCCCAAAAACATCTGTCGTGTTCATTGAGTTACACTTGTTCGACTAAATTCTGCTTTTACCTGAAACAGGTAATGGAGTGGCACAAGAGGATGGAGGAGGCCCGCCTCCAGGAGCTGAGGAAAGGGAGGGAGCTGGTGGTCCAGAAGGAAGAGATCAGTTACCTGAAGAAGCTGGTGGAGGAGCAGGACCGCACGGTCCGCTCGCTAGAGGAGGACATCGTCCAGCTCAACTCTGTGAGTACAAACCCTCTTCAAGTTTACAACTCTTCTCAAACTCTGTTAAAAGACAACTACTTTTTATAAATATCATACAGAGGGCTGGGTTATATGGCATTAAAATGAGATCTCTGACTCTTTTTTTCCACACCAGATGCCGATTTCTGGTTTTATTCAATTTTGTTTTCTTGCTTTCTTTTCTAAAAGAGAAATTACAAATGTTTTTTTATAAATAAATCCTCTTGTGAGTTTTATGACGGAGTATCAGTCAAGCTATGAGAATTTCTGTTTAATTACTAGAATACAAGATAATAATATCTGCAGAATAAAGGCACAATTTTACCAGAAGAACGTCTTAAAATCACAAGAAAAAAACTTTAGAGAAAAAGTTTGGATATTATGACTTCATTCTCATAATTAAAACAGAAAAAAATTTTTAGCCCGACACTTATATTTTTCCGAATATGAAATAGAAGTTACAAAACACGCTTATCAAACAAGATGGCTGCCCAGGACGTGCTGACATCACTCTGAACCATGGAAACCCCCTCCAAAAAAAAACTCATACTTTCCAGAAATTAAATTAATCAAACTGAAGTATCTCCCAGGCCTGATTGTACATAAAACAAAATAACCCTTACTCATTGGCGAACACAACGGTCTAACATTTTCATTCTAATAAGCTTCAGGAAGAGCGTCAGCTGGCGTGGGACCAGCGGGAGGTGGAGCTGGAGCGCCAGCTGGACCGCTACGAGCAGCAGCACACCGAGATTCTCAACAGCGCTGAGAAGGTAAAGCAAGACTTGGAAGGTTTATTGATGAAATGCTTCCAGTTTGTTGAAAGCCAAAAGTTATTTTGTAAGAAACCAGTTGGACGTTAAACTGTAATCGATGTGTCCTCTCACTGTTTTGTTTTGGGGGTTTTTGTTAGGTTGAGGAAGAGGAAGGGCCGCTCCCAGACCCAGCGCTGCCTCTGGCTCATCAGTTAGAGTTTGCTTTGAGTAAAATCAAAGAGCAGGTTCGCACAATCTTGGAGCTTCAGGGAGCATGCAAAAGTTTGGACAAGGTAACCGATTCTCTCATGCATACGGAGGACCATAATTATATGGAAATTATATTTCCATATAATTAGAAATAAAAGCAGAAATATATGAGAGCCGTTAACTGAAGCACATGTTCTGTCTTAACATCCACACGAAAATTAATAAAGTCTGGAGACATAAATGTACTACATAACATTTTTTTAATATATATAATTCTGCTCACTTGAACACGCCAATGCCTTCACAAGCTTGGTCAAATATGGAAAACCTACTTTAATTTGTTCAGTTAGTGCAATCTGGAATATAATAGCCAATGTAAAATAAATAAGAAAGAAACTGACAAAACAATAGGTTGGCTGTCTTGGTCATGTGAAAATAAACTACAACAAGCTTTCTTTCAAATGGTTCAGAAAGTCTGAAAAGGAATTCTAAATATAATGTGAAATAAGTGAAGCATGATGTCACTCAGAGCACAAACCATAGAATTAGAACAGATCTTCCAATGTTTGTGTCAGTTTTTGTGTAGCTTAGCCAGATAAAGATAATGTAAACAACTGATGCAATGGGTCATTCTTAAAAGAAAGTCAGAGCTACATTCGAATCTTCACTTAAGGGTTAATTGACTGTTTCGTACAATCGAATTGTTCATGTTTGAATCCCTACTTTAAAACTTTGTCAATAAACAGAAACTGAAAGAGAGCGAAGTAGCTCTGTTAAAAACAGAGCAGAACGTTGTGTCGAGGGACAAGGTGATCAACGAGCTGCGTCTCCGGCTCCCGGCAGCGGCCGACCGCGAGCGTTTGCTTGCTGACCTCAGAAAGAATGAAGAGGACCAGCCAAGCGGTCAGGCTGCCCTCAAGCTGGCGCACCAGACCATCAAAGATCTCCAAAGTCGACTCGACAAGAAGGAAGATGTGCTGAAGAAATACCAAAACCAGATGTCTCAGGCCAGACAGGTGAAACTGTGATGTTGAATGATGAATAGAAAGGGTTTACTTTGGTTAAAAAAATAAAAAAAAAACGAAAAAAGAAAATATATCGACATTCCATTGTTTTTCATTCCTTGCCTCACACACTGTTGGCCCTAGGATCAAGAGGAGATGATAAAAAGGCATCAGGAAGAGTTGAGAATATTACATCAGAAGCTGGATTTGCACACAGACACCTCTCTGGATCAGTTCAAACAGACAGCAATGGTACGTTCAGGCTCTCCGTATAAAACCACTCCACTTTCTGAGTTGAAACCCAACTGCTAACAACATCTTAGGAGTGCAGTGTTGTGTAACATTGACTTTTATGAGCTCTTCATCATGTTATAATGTTATTCATCAAGAACATTCTTGGAGTGTTGTCTTGATTATTTTTTCAGCGAAACGCTGGTAAAAACACTAATATAAGGTTAATACAGGAGCGCTGGTGTGATGACTTCCTGAAGACGGAGTTTCAGAAAGAACAATAGTTTCTTAAAGAGACACAGGCTTAATTTTATGGTTTTAAATTACAAAGTCACATTTTATTTAAGTCATGTTTGTCATATAATTAGGGAGCATTAAAGACTGAAAAGTGAATTTAATAAGATGGTCTAAAAAAATGGACAATTATAGAAAAAAGAAATGGAGTGTTTCAGGAGTGTTCCCTGAAATACCCCAAAACTCAAATAAATAAAGCACTTACTATTTGGAGCACTCCAAATTATTAATAATTTGCTGCAAGGCACCATATTTTATAACATTTTTATAACAACCAAAGGTAATATAGTTACTTATTTGTGCTGTAAAATGCGACTTGACATTAAAAATAAGTATTGATTCAGTCTCTAAACACTTGCTAAACAGTTTGCGTGTGTATTATTTAAGGAAGCAACAACTACTGGGTTTAAAATTGCCCTCTTTGTGTTCAGGAGTTGATGAAGAAGCCCGCTATCAGAGTGCCAACACCTAAACACCTGGAGCGCCTGGCTGAGTTGGAGCAGACGGTGGCTGAGCAGGATGCATCACTCAGCTCTGTCACAGAGAAGCTGAAGCTGACCGCAGTCGAGCTGGAGCAACACCGGATCAACATGGAGATGCAGGCTAAGAAACATGCTGAGGAGATGGCAAAGTAATCAGCCACCACTAACCATTTTTACAGTCAGCTGTCATGTGTTACACTTTGACTTAAAAAACACAGATGTTTTCAATGAGTACATTAGTATGAGAACATAAACTGACTCAACGTTTTGACACAAAAATACATATGAAATATATATTAACACACATATATTCAGCACTGTTAATCCAACTCCTTTGCTTTGCTTTTTTTAAAGTTCAGTAAAGTGAGCAAAGTAATGTCAGCCATTTTTCACAGAAGGTCAAAGGTAATCTTTTGCCCTGGTTCTGTGCATTACAGGGAAGTATTTCTGCTTTCATCCAAAGAACGTTGATCTAGCTGTTTTGTGGTTTCTCAGATGCAGAGTGGAAAATTAAATTTGGATTTTTCACTTAATTTAAGCTTCTCACCCCTTTTTTTTAAGCAGATGGAACCAACTAATGTGAGACTTTAGGGGGGAAAAAAGATTATTTAGACCACTTAATTGACCCTAAGGTCAATTAAAAGTCTAGGTTTTAAGAGGCCATGAGAAAGTCAGATTAAAGAGGTTCATCTAAAGTTCAGTAGAGCACCCGGACACAGTTATGTCAGGCATTGGAGAGCGAGCGCTGAAACGCGTACTGGTAAACACAAAATTCTAACAATGCATTTGAAATAAATCGCAGAACAACACAACTAATTAATCAGATATATAATCAGCCATCTTTGTTTAGATTGAAATTCTGTAGAGAACCTGTCCAGTGGGCCAAGAAAAATATTATATGATAAAAAAATAACAGTTTTATAAGTACGTACTAAAATGATGGTTTTATTTTGCCAGTCTACAGAAGCTAAAGTAGAATACAAAATATAAATATTGTTAGATTAGGTTAACTGACGGAGCTGAGAAAGGAAGGTTTGGTAGCCCGCTTAAACATATAAAGCAGATAGTTTGAAGCTAGAAAACATTTAATTACTTTTAATTGAATAAAACATGCATATAATTCCTGTCTTTATAATTTAAAGCATTTCCATTTTCTTTTAGATTTCATAAGCCACTTTGGAAGGACCAAAGAGCCACAACTTGTTCTCGAGCCGCTGGTTGCATTTAAAATGTACATATGGAGAAAATTTTGTTACAATGTTGCAATAAGTAAAATATTTTAAAAAATAAAACGTATCGATGCAAAAAAACAAGAGGTCACATGTAAGATGATGCCAAAGTTCTTCTCAATAATTGTATTTCTCCTCTTTTCAAGTTGATATTTACTCCCAACGTCTGTAGTGAATCTATAAAATAATCTGAGTTAATTTATTTCCTGACCAGAATAAAACATAATTCTTCTTCTTGCCACCCAGAGTAAACAACATATTTCTCCACCCATGCAGATTATGCACAGGCATTTACTCTCTAACTTTGTATCAATTGGAAAGTTAATTTAATGGAATGTGGACCAGGGATTTACTTCTAGTTATGATGCTAACAAAGGGGGGATTTGTTCCAGGCTGGAGGAGAACTACATTGCCCAGGTGAAGGCTCTGAGCGGGGAGGTAGAGGACAGGAGCAGCCAACTGGCTCAGATGGAGAAGGAAATGAGCTTCCTGCGCTCAGAGCTGGAAGCACAGAAAGAGGCCAACGTTCGGTCCCCGAGCAACACCATGAAAAACCTGGTGGAACGCCTCAAAGCACAGCTCACTCAGAAGGAAAAACAGCTCAAGGTCTTTTACCAGTTTTTCTTGTTTTACTTAACATTAATTGTTTGACTAATTGGTCTTCTACTTGATATGTAGAAACTGATAGCTGGAGTATAGTACAGTGAATATGGAAAGTTTTCTCAACATTTTGTTTTTGTCATATTTTGTTTTCCAGCCTTATTCTGAATTGTGTTAAATGATTCAGTAATATTATGTGTTTTCCAGGCACATAATACCATTTTATAGTACTGTGCACTGTAAAAGTGCGGCACAGAAGATACACAGTTCAACTAGATGTTTGCTTATTGCTGCCGGCTAGTCTGAAGGAGCTGGGTGTAGGGCCGCATGGAAGGGCTGCTCTGTGAGGCAGAAGCTCAGAAACCGTATCTCTGAGGAGGAGCTGCACCTCGAAGGCGGGGCTAGTCCCACCAGGCGTTTTTCGTAGCTCAGTGGTTGCTATGGGAGATTAAAGGATTCCTCAAGTGGGCATGAAAAAATCAAGACAACATTGCAGATATGATTTTGATGAGGGATTAATATATTAGCATGATGTAAAGCTGAAAAGGCTGATTCCACATAATACTGCCGCTTTAATCTCTTTCCTTAACATTTTACACACTCCCTTTACATACTCCATTTTGAAAATCTGGAAAACAAAACTTTTGAGTATTTTGCAAATTTATCAAAAGAAAAACAAGAAGTCACATTTACACCAGTATTTACACCAGTTCTGTTCTTCGCTAATGCATCTGGATCTTTGTTCCTGAAAGATCCTCTCTCAAACATTTACAGTAAATTCCTTTGATTTCATCTTTAGTGTTTGACCTCTGACCTGCATTAGACAGGTGTGTATTTCCAAATCAAGTTCAGGAAACAGGATTTATCACGGGTGGATTCTGTTTAAGTTACAGAAGTATCTCGAGGATTATCAGTGGATCAACAAAGGCTTTGAAAACTTAAGGAAATGCGATTTCTTGGTTTTCTGATTTTAATAGATTTGCAAAACGTTCTTCCACATTGCCATAATAAAGGGGTATTCGTGTGGAAAATTTTTGAGGGAAGAGTTTCAATTCAATACAATTTTGGAGTAACACAACAAAATGTGGAAAAAGTGAAGCGACGTGAACGCTTTCCGGATGCACCCTAATCGAATATTTTCTAGGCATGTCCTGTGTTTTGTTTCGGCTTCGAAGTAAATCAATTCAGTGAACAGAAAGCACAGAGTCTGTTGCTTGTAGAGTTTGCAGCTGTGAGAAACCGATGTGGCCAGACAAGGCCAGGACAAAGATTCTCAACGTATCACAGCTAAAGTTACTGTGTTTTACTTTTATGTTGAGTGAAGAAGATGACCTTGTGTGCCTTTGTATGAATCAAACGTGATTCTCTGGGCACCACCAAGGATCAAGCCGCTTTTATTGCATTACTGAACAGCAGGGTCTGTTTGTTTCGTCTCCTGTCAGGCTCTCAGTAAGGCGCTGTTGGAGCTGAGGGCGGAGATGACGTCAGCTGCAGAGCAGCAAGTCATAGCTAACGCTGCCCAGAAAGAGCAGAGTCTCAATGTTCAGATGATGGTGGACAAACACACCAAAGACCTGAAGGTAAGATCAAAGTTTTTTTTTTTGGTTTTGTTTTTCTTTACTTGTGTGTCATGGTTTCTGTCCTGTTGATGTAATCAGCTCAAATTAAGCTTTGTTGGATGTTTTAAGTTTTACAAATTGGCATAATGGTTAGAAAGCAGGACCTCTACAAAGCAGCTGTAATTGAATCGTACCTGCTGACAGGCTGCAGTAGATGCTTCTGGTATCTATGGAAATTACATTTGCGATGTTCCTGGATGTAAAGGACCATCTGCATCAATTGGAGCGGCCAGTAAGGTGATAGATGGTAACCTCCGTTTAAAAGCAAGTGCATTATTATTTTTAAATAAAAGTATGAAATAAAAATGTAATTTAAAAATATGTTTATTTTATTTTTATAAGATGATTGCTATTTGAGTTTCAACATTATTTAATTTTTCCAAATATTCATCCATATATTTCTATTTCAAAATAAAAAATATGATAAAAACTGGATTCAAAAGGAAAGTTTTCAGCTCAAGAATTAAGTAATTTTTTATGTATTTTTTGTAGGCACGGGTACAGGAACTGAACGAAGAACTTCAAGCTGCAAAGGAGTCGGCCAAAGCAGCCAGGAGCAGAGAGAACGTTCTGAAAGAGGAGGTTGAAGGACTAAACCAAGACTTCCAGAAATATCAAAGAACTCAGAGACGACTGCAGGCCGAAAAAGCAGAGCAAGAGCAAGAAGTGGTGGAGCTCAAGCAGCAAGTACAGAGGCTCACCAGCGCCATGCAGGTACATAGCTGAATCACTTTGAGTCGCACTGAATCTTCTTTTTTTTTGTTTTTTAATTTATGCTTTGGATCGTCAATGTAATTTTGGCATCAGAAATAGCCTCAATAAATCAATTTTTAAAAAAAGTTTTTATAGTGATGCATCAATACAGTATTCATCAATCCTGATATATATAGTTTGCGTATCGGTTGCAATATGCCCACTCTATAAGAACAAATCTATTCAGTCTAATTTTATGCTTTGTACTCTCAGCTTTATTATTTATTTTACATTGGATCTAGATTTCCTAATTGCACTTTTGAAACCATTTGAAAGAAGGTCTGTAGTTTATTTTGTACCTTTTTGACCAAGGAAGTCAGTCTATTGATTTTGTTAGTTTCAGGTTCTGTAGTATATATTTTACATTGGTTGTTGGACTTGTACTGACTGGGCATATTAGTTGTTCTTTCATGTTTTGCCAAGCTTGTGAAGCTGTTGGCGGATTTAAATATGCTGTACTAATTCAGTTATCAAATACATTTGTAATTCAGTTGTAATTCCATACACTTATCTCTGTGTTTCAAAAAGTAAACGTTTCAAGTCAATTTATCACCGTTTTTTGATGAAAAAAACGGTGATGATCAGTATCAGATCGGTATCAGCCAATACTAAATATAAATGTTGTGAAAAAAGTGTATCGGTGAACCCCTTGAAATGTATTTATTAGGGGACTAAAGCAACATGGAGTAGGCTAAACAAAATGCAACACATCATCCCCTGATCTAAAGAAAATCAAAAGCTAAATAAGAAATAATGTCATTAATATCTGTCACTTTGGAACGGTTTACAAAGCCATTGCTAAGGCTTTAGGACTCCAATGAGAGTCATTATACACAGAATATAATATGTATATTCTGGCACAACTACTAGAAATACTTCGATCGCATTTCAACGTCCCATAATAACATCTAACCTTAGTGGGTGTGGGTACAATTAATCCCTCTGGTTTTTGACACAGTGTAACTGATGGATTTTTCCTGCTGCTGTTTACTTTTGGGCAATTGTGATGATGCATAACCGTAGCAACAAGTAAAATTTTTTTACAACTGGGAGTGACTTGATCAGCATCTCAAAAGCTTGTGTCGTACCTGAACCATGACCTTGAACCCCAGAGGAGTTGAAAAGAAAGTTTCATGGACGCAGAGCAGGACCAAAGAGCAGAAAGAGAAGAAGAAAGTTCCCTTCCGTCCCCTTCATTTGTCAGAATGGGTAAGGTTCATAAGCCCTACTCCAGGGGTGTCAAACTCCAGTCCTTAAGTGCCGATGTCCTACAACTTTTGGATGTGCCCCTGCTACACAAAATAGAAAAATAGCTTGCTATTTTTCTATTTTGTGTAGAAAAATAGTAAGTTCTGGAGAACTGATCTACACAAGGAGGAGGTAATAAAACATTTCATTCCAGTGTTTTGTACCTGTGGCACATCTAAAAACTACAGGACACCAGCCCTCGAGGACTGGAGTTTGACACATGCCCTACTCCGACGTCTCTCTGCCCGGCTTCCTAACCGTACACCCAGACAGATTTAAAGAGGAGTGGCAAAAGCAAAGGAGGTGGATTAGTAGTACTTGTTAACAACTTATTGTGTCCTCCAGAGTGTATTACCCAGAATGCCCTGCGCTGTGGTTTGCTTCCTGTTTTTCGGAGCAGACTCCAGTCTGCTTGTTTCCATAAACACATTCAAACTGTTCACTTTAATTGAACCGAGACCGAGGTTTTTAGGCAGACCAAAGACCAGTTTGAATTCTTGATCCATATGCGAGTTGACATTTAATGCAGTTCTTGTCACAAATACTGTTTTGAAAGCATGATAATTTTAATATTTTAATGTGGCAAAAACAGAATAAATCTGTAAGAGAAAAAGTCTTTCTTCAAGGTACTCTGTGTTGGTCTCTGGCTCTTAGTTAAAACTTTTGCTTGTTACGTCCTATATTTCAGTGTGATATGTTGGACAGTGGCCACCGACAACCAGCATTGCCATAGCATCATATGGGAAAGGGATTAAAATCCTCTGACTCCTGTTCAGCATTCAGATGTTGAAATAGGATAGAACGTTGATACGGGAGTCATGCCACGCCCGTTAGGCTTGTCTGACAGCCAGCAGGAAAAAAAGTCGTGGAGGAATGTGTCAAAAAAGAATGAAGACATTTCTTTTGAGGTTTAAGATAAATGGCAGCCAAGTTTTGGGGTTGATTTCATTATCTGGGAGCTTGTTTACTTGTTGTTTCTCAAGACTGTACAGCTGGGGGTCAGAAGTTTGCATACGCCCAGAATGAGAGTAAATATCTTGTTCCTTTTTCAGAGTGGAATTTAGATAGGTCAACTTTTGGGCAACTGAATCGACTGGAGAGTTGGGTCGGACTCTCCGGTTCAGTGCTCGACTAGTTTGAATCTTACATAAAGAACAGGAATTTCTTTGTTTCAATTGGAAACTTCTCATCAAAGAGGTCAAAGATCACATTTGGGGTACCACAAGGTTCAATCCTAGGACCCCACTCATTCAATATTTATATTCTCCCACTAGCTCAGGAGATGTTCTTCAGGTGATAGAAGGACGACTTTGTAATCATCTTTATGTGGCTCGCAAAGTTCAAGTCCGAGTCCATCACTACTCCCAGGTTTCGGGCCTGATGGCTAGTTTTTAGTTGTAATAAATGAAGCTGTGCATTGACTTTAGATCGTTCCTCTTTAGGTCCAAAAATAATGACTTCAGTTTTGTTTTTGTTCAGCTGGAGAAAGTTTTGGCACATCCACACATTTATCTGTCCTAAGCATTTATTCAGTGATTGGATGGGTTCAGAGTCACCTGGTGACATCGTAAATGTGGAGCTGTGTGTCATCCGCATAGTTATGGTAGCTAATATTATTTCCTGTTATAACCAGGATTAGAGGACTAATGTCTCAGCCAGATCTAGAGAAACTCATCCATGCGTTTATCTTTAGTCGCATTGATTATTGCAACAGTGTCTTCACAGGCCTGTCCAACAAATCAATCAAACAGCTGCATCTGATCCAGAAGCTGCTGCTCCTGTTCTCACTAAAACCAGGAAGATAGAGACATAACACCAGTTTTAAAGTCCCTCCACTGGCTCCCTGTAGCTCAAAGAATAGATTTTAAAATACTGTTGTTAGTTTACAAATCACTGAATGGTTTAGCACCACAATACATCAAAGATCTGCTGTTGTATCAACCTTCCAGACTCTCAGGTCTTCTGGTTCTGGTCTGCTTTGCATCCCCAGAACTAAGAGAGGAGAAGCAGCTTTCGGCATCTATGCACCAAAAATTTGGAACAAACTTCCAGAAAACTGTAAAACAGCGGAAACCCTGACTTCCTTTAAATCTCAACTAAAAACACACCTGTTTAGAATTGTATTTGAAATGTAATATGTAACAATGTATTGTTTATTCTATGTTGCATGACTTTGTGTTTTTGTGTTTATAATGTAAAGCACTTTGAAATGCCTTGCTGCTGAAATGTGCTATACAAATAAAATTTGATTTGATTTGATTTGTGATAGTACATTTTTAATATTTAGCTGAATATTTGCATATTTTAGATCCAACATCTATAATTTTGACCACATTTGGATAAGAGAAAAATTGTGATGAAGTCAAACTTGAGCAGCCAGTTCTTGTTTTATTGTTTTTTCAACATCCTTAAAAGTTTTTGTGTAAACAATCACTTTGAATAATTATAAAGCAGGAAGTAAACTTTTGTCTATGAGTATAAATAATAAACATATAAAGAGCAATGATTTTATTTATTTTTTTATTTTTTTTTTTGTCTGGTTGCTCAGAATCAGACAGAGGCAGACGGCAAAGGAGCCATCATAGAGAATCTGCAGAAGAAGATCAGGAGGCTGGAGTCAGACCTGGAGAAAAGGAACGACGTAAAAAATATCAAAGATGATCATGGAAAGGTGTGAACTCCATGACCACTATATATTGTTGCTGTTGGGCAAAAAATGTCATTCTATCATTTTTAGTCATTTCTGTTATTTTATTATTTATCAACTCGTCTGACATTCCTTCTCTGTCTGGGGTTTTATGTATACACTAAAGTGAAAAGTTTAGAGTTTAGATTGCCATATTATTTTAATTCAGATTTTACTGCTTTTGTTTCTAAACCACCATCAACAAACTTCTTATCATTTAAGTAAGCAGTGTAACTCCTCCCGTTTTTAGCTTATGTGTGACGTCTCCCAGCTCCATCCTGTCGCTTGTAACCACATAGTGAGTCAAGTGTAATTCATCTGGGATGTGATTGATTGGAGCGGAGTGTGCTGCACTTGTTACACTCTGGTTTTAGATAATCCAGCTCCATTTACTTATAGGTTTGATAAATTGTACAGGAACAAATTTAAATGTATTTAATTGTAGAAAACCTGCCTCAGCCTCTGTAGACTCTGTTAAGTTTTCTAAGGATTTGAAGTTTCTTTTGCATCCAGTTTGAGAATTAGACTAGCAAACATTTAATATTCCCACAATTAACGTTCTCAAATAGCTTCATGAAACTTACACCTCTGTTAGTTCAGGAGTTTAGGTTAAATCCATAAACCTCATCATGTATTAGTGTTTGTCTGTTTAGCTGATGCAAAGCCTGTTTCTCCAACAGACCAAAGATGAAATTGTGCGGTGGGAGGAGAGCAAAAGATGGCAGGCTAGAATGGAAAAGGTGAAGAATTCCCTGAAGGAGAAGGAACGAGATAACGAATCGTTGTCGAAGCAACTCAGCACTCTTAAAGATCTTTATGGCAGGTCAGCGTATGTACATCATACATCTGGTATGCACAGCGCCTAGATTTGCTACAGTTATGCTGATGACTGATTTATCACTCCCAATGTTCCTGTTTAGAATCAAAAAGATGCTCAATGATCACAGCTGTACATCATTCAGACGGCTTGCTCTGTCTTTTTCATCCGTCAACCCTGTGCGCTTTTGTTTGCTTGCAGATTGGAGCAGGAGAAGACTGCGCTGCAGAAAAAACTAAAAGCTCGAGGTGTGACCGCCGACCAGGTGGTGGGGGTACGAGCCAATGACATGGAAAGGCAGATAGAGGAGTTGAAGAAGAAGAATTCTGAGCTGGAAACCCAGATTGTAACCATAAAGTATGTACATATACGAGCCTACATCAGACTTAAAAGCCATGTTTGACTGAAGGTAACATAGTAGCCATACTTGATTGTGCTGTAAAAAGGAACTACATCTCTTTTAAAAATACAAATCCAATAATTGTCAGACTGGTTTTAATCTACTTCCTTGAGTCAATACTATGCAGAACCATAGTATTTACCTTTACACCTTTAGTAGTAAAGGTGAGAGTGATCACATCGAAAGACTAATATTTTTGCTATTACTTGTCTGCTTTGAAATCAAATATCTTACATTATATAAAAAGTGTTGCTTATTAACATACTTAGTTCGATGGAGGCAGCTGAGATATTTTTGATTCCTACAAAAGCAGCTGATCGTTTTTCTGACAGGAGCTTTTGAACTTCCGGAAGGTCTCCGGTTTCCAAACTTGTCCGCCAGACAGCTTTATAGGTCTCAGCTGCCTCCTAAAAGACCCGGAGGCTCTACAGACAACCTTTACTTGCCTCTGGAACCGTCGTCACTGAGTTTGTAGATTCTCATTGAGCTACGAGAAGGCCGCTTGTGACGTCGGAGGTCAGGGAGGCAACGGGTAACGTTTTGCGTGTCAGCATTTCAGATGGATGTTCCACACGTTGCGCTCCACTCTTGTTGAGGACTCACACTGATATCTACAGACTGAAGAGACCCCATGCTGCCGCTAACGTGGCGAGATCAAACGTTTGACAGGAGGACACTAATTTAACAGTTGACTCAGACGCAATTGTGCCGCCTGCTGGCAGAAGTTGAGTTGAACATCCATGCTGCATGTTCAGAGAATTGATATGATGAACTATATGAAAGAGTGGGACAGTTTTGGAATTTGATGTCCTGTGACATCTTAATGCATCAGAATATTGTTGAATGATCAACAAATTAGACACAGTGAGATATAAGCATTTATTTCTACTAATTTTGATTACTATAAGCTAGAGCTAATAAAAAAACAAGATTTGTCTTTTAATAAACTCATAACCTTACAAACATTAACAGCATTAATGATTTAAATACAAAAATTATGTATGATACAAACTCTTGTGTATATACAATGGCCTACACATTTCTGGGGAACACTGCTTTATCCAGCAGACAACACTGAAAAAGAAGCTGGCTGTTTGGAGTGTTATGAAAAGTTGAGTGGAAAGAAGAGTTGTGATAAGCAGTGATAGCTAGAACCTTTTCAGTGATGTCCTAATTTATTTAGATGGCCCTTATGTGAAAGTAGAAATGTATATGTTCAGTCAAAGTTTGGCACTGCAGAAGAGGCGCATCATCACAAAAACAGCAACAACAAAAATAATTGTCATTAAAACAATGTTGTTTTTTAAATGTTTAAGTTAAAATCTGAAAAGAAAAGAAAAATTGTATGTGTAATTTAATTACATGTGTATTAATTAACCATTTTACCTCATATTAATGTCCAACTTGTAAACTCTTGCCCTATTTTTGCTTCCTTCTGTATTTTGAATGTACAAATTTTTAACTTATTTTTGCAAAAGAGCCTTAAAAGTAATTGAAAACAAGCCAGGTTTGTTGGGAGTGGTGAGATAATTATCTATTTATTCATCTGTCTGCTAGGGATGAATGGATGGGTAATATAACCCAACTGTCAGTGGGAAAAAGTAACATTAAAGCAATGTGACATAAAATGTGACACTAACGAACATTTTATGCACATCACTGTACAGAAACAGCTATTGTTCATCTTTCCATTAATCAAAAAATCTTGAAAGTGTTTGCCATAGTGCCATGAAAGTGTTAGCATAGAGGGAGCAGCTCAACTTTTTAAGTTTAAAATACTGAACTGATTGGCCAGAAAACTACCAGGGATGCACTTCTACTTTTAGCCTAGAAAACCTTAACTTAAATCAGAATTGGCCGGTCAGGCTTTTCGGAGAACAGTAATCGGTCTGAAAACTTCCGCCGGTGCACCCCTATTTTTAGCCTGGAAAACGTTAGCATACATGCTGGACTAACCTCTTGATATATGTCTCTGGCAACTTTGAAATAAAGAGAAGTTTCCAACACAAACCAATATTTCCCTGTCAAACGTGCATTTTATCTATGTAAAATGTTCAGAGCCTTAATAGATGATGAGAAATTGCAATTTTACAATGGAACTATAAACAAAAAAGCATTCATATCTTCTCACAGAACAGCGGAGATTAAATTGTGCACATTAATAAAGAGACTTTTAAAGATAGTTCATTACACCGGGTTTTCTTTGTAGGTGTGAGAATGACAGGATCAGACTTGTACTTGTAAAAAGTTCCTTTTCTGTCGTGTTGACTGTGCAGACAGCAGCAGGCCTTGCCTCGTGACGATGCCATGGAGAACCTTATGTCAAAGAACCAACTTCTAGAGGAGAGACTCCATTCCTTAGAGAGGCAGATATCGAAGGAACCCCCTTCCAGACCCTCGGTAAAGTGTTTAAACCGCATATTTATTGCTCAGATACGGTCGTTTGGCTTTTTTTTTAAATCTTATATCAGATGTCCTTGAATTATTACTCGTTAAAACAAAGCTCATAACCGCAGGTAAAGCTGAAGTAATAAACGAAAGTTCAGGTATTAAGAAAAAAAAAAGTTTTTGGCCTCACTAATGGAAAGAAGTCCTCATTTCTCCTTTTTAGTCAAAAGGAGAAATCCAGTAGGAATATTGTTCTGGTGTTTTACCATCAAAGCGCTAAAATAAATGGAAGATTAATAGTTTATTTGACATAAACATTACTTTCTCTAGTTTTGGAGGACTGGAATCTGGGAGCAAAGTCAACAACAGAGAACATATTTATGCTGTATTAACCAGCATTTCTTCTGTTTAAGAGCTCGCCTGGAAGACATGAATATGAGCGTTATATTTCACAAGAATGGCAAGACATCGCATTTACCACAAGATGTAGTACTTGGCCTATGCTCTGTTTGAAGATCTGGAGATGTTTAGCAGTCTATTCATCAGTCTTCCTCTGTTTCTTCATCTTCCTTCCTTCTTCCTGGGTTTGATCTTATTCACTGCCTGCGAAGGGGAGAGACTTCTCCTCCCGGGCGTTTAGCGGGATTTGTTCGCTCACGTTTGATGTTGAGGACGAAGTGTCGTGCTCTCAGCTTCCCCAAACTCCCGACCCCGTAGGAGGCGCCCTCGGCCAACAGGGGGGGCTCATACAGAACCAGGCATGGGGAGGAGAGGACCTGGATGTGGATCGCCTCGAAGATGAAAGGCAAACACCAGCAGTTGTTGGAGAAATTGAAGAAAGCATCCCGATTGGATGTGACGTTACGGAGCCTGTGGAACAGGAAGAACTCCCCGACACAAAAGGGAATGGCGCCGATGATCGCTCAAAAAGGACGGAATCCATCTCGCCTCCGTCTGCAACGCTGGCAGCGACGGGCGGTGGAACAAGCGAAAGTAGGAAGAAACCGGGCGATCCTGACCCAGACGGTGAAGGCATGGTTCCTGATGATGATGATGTCGGAGTTATCCCGGAGGTGTCCCAGAATGCCAAAGAAAAGGTGGAAGAAAAAGAAGATGTGACAACAAGAACGGATGTGGAGGAAGATGAACAGGATTCTTTGTCAGCTGATCCTGATGTTGATTCTAGTATCACTCTGAGTAAACGCTGGGAGAGAATAGTCCACGCAAAAAGGGGCAAACAAACACAAAAACAGGAATTTGTGAAATATCAGAAGGTATTCCAGCCTGTGTTTCCCCCCCAAACCGTCATTCAAACCCTGGCTGCTGAGGTAGTAGAGCTGTGATAGCATTAGACATGGCAGAACCAGAGCTACTCATATCCAGTGAAATGTCTCGTTAGCATTTCCTCCCCATCATTGTCCATCGCAGCCTTCAGGTTTCCATTTGCTCTTTGGAAACCTGAGCAAGTGATTTTTGTCACTTTAGCATATTTTATTAAGAACCTATGTGAGAGACCGACACAAATCATGGTTGAAATTATGTATTGTTTTGCATCCAGCTTCCTGAAGTAAATACGTTGTAGAACCATCTTTCAGTGTAAAGTCTTTCTGGGCCTAAACTTTTGCCCGTTCTTTGTATCCTGGCCATGGCCTCCCCACACACTTCTGCTCGATTCTCATCCTCAGTGATCCATGTAGGATTTCTCCCAGTGAAGTGTATTCCTCTGGTAGCATTTCAACTGAACCAATCAGCAAACAGAAGGAGAAACTGAACGGTGATGTCGATTTTCTGTGTTGTTTAAGAATTGTAGTGTGTATTACATACGTCGCACCCAAAAATGTTAGCTATTGGGTGGACTTTAAAACTGCAGTGGAGCCAACGTCTCCAGGACGCAATCATTTCTCAGTAGTCGAGGGTTCAGAGCCTCTGGAGGAAGCAAAGCGCAGAACACAGGCCGGTTTTTACCAGCCTGTGTTCTTTGTAAGATTGGAAGAAAACCGAACAGTTTTCAAGCCTCTTTTTTGCCACTTTTCAAAACCATGTATACGTTTCCATCCACATTTGTGTTGGTCTGTCACATTAAAATCCCCCCAAAAAACACAGATGTTTGTGGTTTTAAGGTGACAAAAAAAGACATTAACTGTATTTCCATTCCAAAAGTTTCAAATTTAGGAATGTTAGGGATCGACTTTGTCAATATTCCGCTAATGTCTAAAAGTGGACTCCATTCACACTATTTGTGTTCATAAAGTGGTGTGAATTCATAAATAAGTTTGTTCATGAGATAAGTCATTAAAAACATGCTGTGCTATCATCGTGTAAGCACTTACTGTCGTCTTCTTCTTCATGGTTTAAAGCAGTGGTAACCTCTGATTGTGGTTCTCATGCAAAAAAAGTGCTGCCATTGCAGTTTTCCAAAATAAACCAATTTCGATACAGCCAAAAAAAAATCCGTCTCATTTTAGTGACAAAACTTTTTTTCAAACAATAAATACTTTATTTTATTTTCCAAAATTGCAAATTCATTTTCAGAATATCAAATTGGACACTCATATGATCAATGGAAACACAGTTACTGTTAACCATTTTCCTTCCTAAAGCTTTTCCCTCCACTGCATTTTCTCTGTGCTCAACCTTTGGACACATGTGGCTCATTCTGAGACTTTGCCGTTCTTTAGACTTCGGGACGCGGGACCGGGACTCCATCACAGAGAGATCAGGACATCTCAAAGGAAAACCTCAAGCTGGCCTCAGAGAACTTGGAGCTGCGCCTCCAGCTGGAGCAGGCCAACCAAGACTTACCCAGGCTGAAGGTACGACCAATCCAAACACCCCACTAGCCTGTCACATGTTCAAACATGCTGGTCTTACAAAGAAACAGTGCCTATTTTTGGGATTTTCCTATGAAAGGTAGTCTTTTACATATGCCTGTCATGACAACATATTTTGCTGGATGATAAATTGACCCAGAACTTATTGCCATAAATGATAATATTGTTGTTTTGAGACCATTTTCAAGTGACATAATAGTAATAATTGCATAATAAAGCAAGAACACATTCTCAAGGACCAATAATTTGAAATATCCAAATTAAATAAAGAAAACAAATAAATTATTAAGTCTCTGTAAACAAAATAGCCTTTCAAAGAAAGTAATAGTTGAGACCAAATCACCAGACTGGAGATCAGTTTTGGTAGAAAGAGAGAGAAAAGCGAAAACAGATAAATCAAGCAAATTAAAACTTTTGTGTTTCTTTTAATTTATCATGCGATTTACTGATTTAGTGTTTATGACGACAGGCATACTTTTATATTTCGCTGGGAATAGAAAGAAAACCTTTTAATTTTATGGTTTTAGATGTTAGGATATAACAAAGAAATCTTGTCTTTTAAAGGATCTGAAAATATTCAGATGTAAAAGAACAAAACTGATTCCATACTGTCACTATATAATGAAGACGTGTGTAAAAAACCCCAAAAAGAAACAACCCATGGTTTAAAAGCTTGTAGATCCGCTGTAAGCAGCAATAACTTCCAGTATCGAGTTACATCGTCACGGAGGAATTTCAAATCTCTCCTTTACAACATGCCTTCAATTTGTGGAGGTTTTCTGCACAGCTGGATGTGTGGCCCAAACTCCAGCTGTCTGACAGATTTCTGCACTGCGGTAAATAGATGAGTCTGTTGTTGATTCTGTGACCCAGTTCCACAACTGAAAAACAACACGAGCTCATCACTCCAAACATCACTCCTCCACCACCATGCTTTAGAAGAGCTACGTTGTGCTGCTCAATTCTATTTTCAGAAAGATGAATCAAGACGAGCCTTGCTTGTTTTGCCATTTTTTTCCTTGTTTGTTTGTTTTTTTCACATTCAAATGGAGGCCTAAAGACTGTAAGGTGGGGCTCTTGGGAAATTAGATTTAGAATTTTAGGTTTTCCCCCAGAAAACTTGCTAAGCCCGGTGGTAGATGCCAGGACAGTCATTCATTAAGCGGCCCTCTGTGCTTTTGAGTTGAAAAATTTTTAAAATTGACAGGAAATTAGAAAATATCACTTGGCATTTATGTTATTGGAATATTGGAAGATTAATAAATGAACACCAACTATAAGGTACGGTAGCCGACAGGTGCAAACATGCAGCAAACAGCGAAATGAACTGCAAACAGGTGAAACGACGCAGCAAACAACAAAACGAGGTGTAAGCACATGTAAAAAAAAACAAATGCAACAGAAAAGCAATGCAATCAAAGAAAATTCTGTAATAACAGAAAGTAAAATGACTGGGCCATTCTAACATGAATATTTTTTGTTTCAAATCCTTTAAGAAAGACTCGATAATTGATAGCAGGTGTGCTTCTTTTTTTCATTTTTGATCATGACTGTAATTCTATATATATTTTCTGTTTCTACAGAATCAGGTCACAGACCTAAAGGAGATGTGTACGGCTCTGAAACAGGAGAGAGCGGAGGCCGAGAAGAAGCTGGCGCACCTACGGGGAGTAAGAGAGCTTTGCTTTGCTGTGCAGACAGGTTTTTTTTTTTAGAAACACTCCAGGAACATCATTTAATTTAAATTGATAAAAGTAACTTAAATCTGCAGTATGTACGTTTTAAAATATTATATAATAATATTTTACACTATGAATGTCATAGTGTAAAAATCCATCTCCTCCTCCCTGAACTAATATTATGAAATTCACATCTCCCAGTCAAAAACAACCAATCAGAGCTGGGAGGAGGGTCTTAGCACCGTCAGTCGATGCTACTCAATGTGCTAATGGTGGAGAAACAACTCACCATTCCAGGAAAGCCATCATCGGCGGTCATGCTAACTAGCTGTAACATTCGTGGTAGGTTACATCGTGGTGAAACAGCTTTCGCAAAGGTTGCGAGGCGGGGAGCAGGAGAGTGATTGACAGCGCTAAGTCCCTCCTCTTGTCTTTGATTGGTTGTTTCAGACTGTGGTGCATTTCTGCAGTTTGTACTGGGAACAATGGGAGAAAGCAGAGGAGCTCCAGTTTTTTTTCCACATGTATAAACCTTATACTGTTACGACATTGAAAATGTTAACAAATATGTAAAAAACATATTTTTTTTATAAGTTACATACTGCAGCTTTAAGATTCAACATTTTTCTTGAAACCCGTTCTCCATCAGGGTGGTTACAGTGGTAAAACGGTCCCTGAGCTGGAGAAGACCATTGGTCTAATGAAGAAGGTGGTGGAGAGGGTGCAGAGGGAGAACGAGGCGCTGAAGAAATCCAGCGGCCCTGTAGAGCAAGACAGAGTTGCCGCTTTGGAGAAGGAAAACGAAAAGCTGAAGGTCGGCACGCTGTTTTCTTTCCGCTTCCAGCGCAGATGAGTTTTGTTCCTGCAGATGACTGGGAAACGTTGTTTTGCTTCCAGGCTGACTATGAGAAGCTGAAACATCGAAGCGAAGCTGAGCTGAGTGCAAAACTGGAATCCAAAACCAAAGGACTGGAGAGGATCGTGGTGGAGAACGAGCGCCTCCGCAGAGAGATCAAAAGGGTGACTTTTTATTGATGCTCCCATTAGTTTTCCGAGTGCTAGTTTCTCGTCCCTGGTCTTGTCTGAGTGTCTGTGTTGCACTTGGGCAGGAAGTGGAGGCGGCGGAGAGGCTGAGAGTGAGCAGGACGAGTCTGGAGGCGTCCAATGAGAAGCTGGAGTGTGAGCTGGAGGAAACCAGGCAGAGGTTGCGAGCGGCTCTGTCCAAAGCGGCCGCTGCGGGCCCCGAAGGCAAAGCTTCCAGGGCCACTGTTGTTGCCAGGTCAGCAAAATCTGCAGAGCACCGCAAAACTATTCATACCCTCAGCCCTAGAAATCTGCCATAATTTAGGATATTACACAACAAAGAGTGAAATGTGTTTTACTGGGATCTAATACCACAGACCAGCACAAAGTTTTACACAATTGTGACGAAAAGTCTGAAAAGTGTGACAAAATTTTAAATGTTTATATCGAACAACAGCGTTATTGATACTCCACCTTGACGGGCTGAGTATGGAGCGCATTAGTGACAGAAACAACTCTGGAGGCTAAAGTGGTAGAATCTGTTGACTGGATAAAGCATGGTTAACAGACTCCACAAATCTGGTCTTTATGCAAGAGCAGCAAGAAGAAACTATCGGTGAAAGCAAGCTGTACAACAGGTCTTAAAAAGTCATCATGACATTTCAGTTTTAGGCCTCTAGCTCGTTTTAAACGTGACAAGATCTAAGACCTCTTGGTAAGCGAGCTAAGACTTAACAGAGGGAAAACCTTGCATCCACAAGACCGTGTGTTGATGTGACTGTGTGTTCGACTTGCAGGATGTTTGAGAACAAGATGAAGGAGTTGGAGGAGCAGCTCTCCCAGAAGACCTCCAGCATGTCGGAGCTCAAGCAGCAGCTCAAAGAGGCCAAAGGGCGCGAGGAGCGAGCCGAGACGCGGGCAAGGCAGCTCCAAGATCAGGTACCGGATAATAAGAGTCGAGTCGGAACAGACTGACTCGCTGACTGGAATTATCATCCTGGGGGATTACTAGGCTCCTGAAAACATTTACCACTGTTAGAAATGATTTTTTATTGTATGTTGTAAAATAATACAAGAAAAAAATACTTTCTTGCCAATGGCGACAGGAGGTAAACTTTTCTGCCTCTGTTTGTTGCTCGTTAGGTTGACTTGTTGCAAAAGTTTCCAGCAGCTCCAAAGACTAATGTGGGGAGCTCCAAGGATCTCCAAGCTGTCAGGTATGGAAATTACCTTTATGTGATTTATGTGAATAATCTTTTATTCACTGCACATGTATTTGGAGTATACTGTAAAACAGGCACTGTGGGGGAAAAAGTGGACTCCTAAGGTATAGATGCTTCATTTGAGTCAAAAATATTTCTGTGTAAGCTAGCTTTGTTTGCATTATTGGGGCAGACACAAACCATAAATGGTGTTTTTTAAAGTGAGGGCCACTAGGGGCTTCCAGGGGGACTCGGAAAGTTGGAGGGAAGATGGAAAAATATATATTTCAATCCCATAAACTTTTTTTTTTATCTGATGTGTTTTTCAATTAAAGACACATCAAAATAACTTTATGAAATATTACCTGCCATGCCTATCTATCTGATTGGCTACCAGTTAAATTTATCAAGCTAATTTCTCCTCAAGATAGCATAGCTAACATAGTTAGCAACCACAAAATGGACAAGTACGTGTCTGACAAAGACTAAAGGAACCTAAGAACTACAGTTGGTGTGTGATTAATTAAAAAATACACATTTTCATATCATCAAAAGAGAAGATTGTGGTGAAGAAGTTTCACTGTCTGGTACTATATTGTGACAAGAGTATCTGATGATTAAATTAATAATATTGTATATTACCACAGACCTCAAGGCCAACTAAAATCAGTTTAGCATTCATGATAAATCAAAGTAGTAAGTGAATGGTGAATAAAAGTGAGACGAAACATTGCAAAAGTTAACATTTACATATTTTGTTGCATTGTATGTTTGTTTACAAAGAGGAATCACCAACCAGAAGCTGATGGTGATTATTTAGGGGTATTAGAGGAGAGAGGGACAGAAATGCAGACATGTTTCCTTTTTCCTTCCACTGTCATAGAAGGATAGATCATAGATCAAACCTTGTGTTGATCTATGACATAAAATCCCAGTGAAATACATGAAAGTTTGTGCTTGTTATGCGACATATGGGAAAGTTTACGTCAATGGATGCTCATAAAAATCAAGAGGAACATAATGTACACAAAGATTAGCGATCATTTAATTTGGGAAATTCTTCAAAAGTCAAATAGAATTTTTCTGAATCTTAAACCCGAGATGCTGCATGAACACATACTTAATCAGGGAGATGACCAGTTGATGATGCAACAAAACTCTATTTATTTGTCTGAAGACTGGAGAGCGCTGAGCCAGAGAGGACAACCATGGAGCCGAAACAGAAGCCGAGTGACGACCCGGAGCAGGATGCTGGAGTTTCTCCAGAACCTGGTGAACCTCTACTTTTCCCATATTATCCTAATGCTGTTCTTTAACAAAAACAGTTACCATGACGTAGTCAAGCACCTCATACACATTCTGCTGTAGGTTAATTGCTGTATTGCCAAATGTCACTTTTACACATCAATGTTATTGATATCTGATTTTCAATGTTGTATCGGTCCACCCAAATGTTTTAGCTTCTACCTTTCCAAAAAAAGCTTTCTACAAGGAATCGTTTGACCATGTTCCCTCAAGTGTATCTGGAAGGTCAGACATTGATGCTGGACGAGAAGGTCTCTGCTCCAATTCATCTCATAAGTGTTGTGTCTTATTGAGGTCAGGACTTTCTGCAGGGCAGCGAGGTTCTCACTCGTCCAGGTGTAATGCTTCGTTCACCCAGCAGGTCTGGATGATTAATTCTGATGTTTGTTTTTCTCCGCGGTCGTTCACACTACGAATGAAACCATGCAGCAAAGAGACCTGTGTGTGAACGGTTTACCACCCCAAAGCGACCAGGTCCTCATAAAAACATCATTGATGTCACACAGCAGTGCTCTGTTTACAGAATAATGGATGGAGCTGTTTGTTGATCGCTTTTAGAGCTTATTGAGAAATAGGAGCTGACAGTGCTGTCACAAAATCACAACAAAATGATATTTAGTCTAGAACTGACCACAACTTCAGTACAGAGGCCTGTTCAAATGCATAGGTGGAGCTAAGGGTGGTGGGATTGTGATGTGATGCGCTTCCCAAACACAGACTTCTTTCTTACCTTCATGATTAGCCAGATATGGTCATTTTCAGCTCATGTCTACGTCCATATATACAGGAACTGGCTTCTTCTGGTGCAGAATTATGACTCATGTCTCACGTCAGTGACACAAAATGCGAAAAGACTGTTCAGACCAGACGTACGTCTCCGAATTAGCACCACATATGGAAGTGACATAAATCACAATGTTTGGGGCTGAAAAGATCGGAACTGGATCGTTCAGACTGCTGTGATAAAGCCGGATATCATAAAAAAAATGTAAAAATCTGATTTGCCTGCTGTGTAGATGTAGCATTGGTGGACTTTGCGCTGCACACTGGTGTGGAGTCCTTTTCAACATATACCTGAGAGTGGTCACATAAAGTCAGGAGATAAAATTATAACTGAATTGTACTGAAAAAACAATCCCACAGCAAAATGTTCTTTCCCAAAACATTCCACTAAAGTGAAATGAGGTAAATAGCATTCTTCTGGCAACTGCTAATCCCAGAGTCCTGTAGATTGTCAAGAGAAAGGAATGACTCAGTGATTTGTTTACGGACCTTCTAGCTGTATAGTGTAGGTTCATGGAAAGCAAACCCTGATCTCAGATGTTGCATTCAAAGGTCTTGGGAACCTGAAAAGGCTCCTACAAGCAGCCGAAAGCCAGAAATCTAAACTCCAAGAAGAGGTGAGAAAGCTCAGGAAGGAGCTGGGAAACTTCGACCCGAACTTTTTCGAAGAGCTGGAGGATTTGAAATACAACTACAACCTGGAGGTGAAGAAGAACATCCTGCTGGAGGAGCAGCTAAAGAAGGTGTGCGATCGGTTTGGCGTGACGGCTGAAATGCCCAGCGTGTCCATCAGCTAACGCAAGGTTGTCCAGACTTTTTAACGACAAGTTTTCTACTGTTCTAATTATGTTCTTTTTTTGTTACTGTCAGTCAGCAGAAACAACCAAGCACCACCTTTTTTTTTTTTTTTTTTACTGTTTTTGTTTTTTCTCCAATAACAGTTGTGTGTTATAACACAGTTATAGTTTTGTAATTATTATTTATAATGAATTCCTCTGAATTTTCCAATAAAAACAAGATTATTTTGAATGGTCAGAATTGCTCTTTTATTCATCACACAACAGAAGATTGTATGTACAGTATTTACAATAATGCATTAAAGTTGTGCACTTATTTTTCAAAGACAATTACAAACCGTCTTTATATTTAAATCTGAAACACTGTTTGGTTGAATATTCACATTTCACCTCCAGAATGACGACTCCATGTCCATAAAAAAAACTGTTGTTTTTTTTTTTGTTTGTTTTTTTATTAAGACTTTCTGCTAATTCTGTTCTGCAAATATAGTTTTTCTGTCAGTGTCATCCTTGTCGTCTTGGAGGTTTACGGCTAGAACTGCACGTCTTGAAGCTGACTGAAGCGCTGTCCGTTCAGCGGGGAAAACCACGACAACAAGCCCTCGCCGCTGCTGTAGGCTGCGGACGCCCCCCCGAGTCGGACCACCGCGGGCCTGCTGGCGAGGCAAGTTTCACCGTCCGGCCACCGCAAGCCCAGGTGATGCCGGTGGATCTGCAAACATAAACACACACTGACTCAACGAAGTGGCTTCAGAAATTCAAAGTAGGGGACCACTGATTGCAGTTTTCTGGCTGACCAACAATCTTTAAAAACTGATAAGGATTTTTTCCCGATACTGATTTTTTATGTTGTTTCTTTGTCTGAAAAGTCACTAAAAATAGCGGCAAAGTTAAGTTGGAAACGATAAGATCAATTTCATATGCAAGTGATGGCCAATAACTAATTTCCCAAAATGAAAAAGGCTGTATGATGTGTTTCCCAGACATATATTACCATTTTATAGCACAATTAAGTCATTTTTAACTTCAGTTGTTATTTTAAAAAAAGGCTATATGTATCAAAATACTTAAAAAGAAATTTGACCTTTTAACTTCTTGAATTTTGGTTCCGTCTTTTTAAGAAACTCCTGATTTTTCTCAAACTCGGCCTTCAGGAAGTCATCGCAACATGGCTACTCTATTAATCCTTTAATAACGTTTTTACCAGTGAAGTAGCTCCTATAATGACCTCAGCAAATGCTAAACGCAAACACCTGGTGGTGTTTGCTAATTGCTGCTGGCTAGTCTGAAGGAGTTGAGTGAGCAAGTCATGGCAGAGGGAAGCTTGGAAATTGCAGCTCAGAGGAGGAGCTTCTTCTGGAAGGCGGGGCTAAGTCCACCCAGGCGTTCTGCAGGGCTGAATGGTTGCCATGGAGATTAAAGGATTGCTCAAACATACATGAAAGAGTCAAAACAACACTACACGTATGGTTTTGATGTGGTTTTAATGTAAAGCTCAAAAAAGTCGATCATACAAAACGCTGTCCCTTTAGAACATTTGAAATTGCTTTTTGTAGAAATCTAAATATAGCCTCGGTGACAGAATATTGGCTCCTCCCACCTTAATCAGCGTGCCGTCGTTGCAGTGCCACACGATGCCCTCCACTCGACCTTCACAGTTTTCCTGGAACCAGGAGCGGAGCAGCTGGAAGTCGACAGGCGGAGGGTTCCGGACCGGAATGCTGCCATGTGGAACCAGGCAGTGGATGGGCTGCTTCTTATCGCCCAGTCCTGAACAGAGCAGACGACCAGGCTGTACATGAAAGCCATTATGAGGGAAGAAAAGTAAGTCGTTTTAAATAACGGTACTGAAAAACATTACCTTAACCTCAGCTGGATTTATTTATACTTTTTATCTTAAGAACAGTTCAGGGGTACATTCTCACCACAGTGAAAAGCTGAATTTTAAAACTGAATATGTAAGAAAATAGGCATGACAACTTATTAAAACTGTATCAGCAAAATTCACTTCAGAATGAAGGAAAGTTGTGCAAAAGAAAAACAAACAAAAAATTCTCAGATTATTAGATTACCAAAGCGCCTGACACTAACTGGTGCGACTCTTGGGCACACTACTTCTACATGTTTCTAATTTGGGATTTTATTTTAAGTCGTGTATCTGTGACTATGTTAATAATTATACATTATTCAATTTTTTTGTTTGCTAAAACAACGGTGCATTAGGGCCACTCTAGATAGGAATAGCACAATAAAGTAGTAAATTTACACCAAAATCTCAGACTTTTTTTTTTTTAAATAAATAAATCTGGACATTTCTCAGTGGAAATGTTTTTACTTTCTAAACTCAGAAATTTGTAACTATTTTTCTAGAAATATAAGATTTTTTTTCAAAATTTCTGAGATTTTTGGCAGAAATATACTTCTGTAATTCTTCTAAATATTAAGAAAATGTGTGTAAACTTCTGATGCCCAAGACATTAATAAACCTCTGGCACATTTTTTCTCACTGTTGTGGCATTTAGAAAAAATAAGTGATTCTAATAACTGTAAATGACCTGATATAAGAGACATCTGGACTTATTCAAACAGTAAGAGAAAACATTTATTGTTTTGTCCTTTTTTTTTTCATTCATTGTATGTGAAGCTGTGGTCTCAAATGCCAATAATATATCAGGCCAATCTTTGATGGTCTTTTATGTCCATATATGTAATAGTTCATAAGGCCTAAGATGCTAAAGATCAAAGGGAATTGTGATTAAAATAACAAGAAAAGTTAGAAAGTCATAATTTCCTGTTTTCTAATGCTACGCCAAATTACTCAAAACATTCTCAGTTGGATCTACGAACTTTATGTGTGGGGCTGATTCTTTTCCCCCCATGCCATTAAATAAAGTATTTTTTTGCAGAGAAAAAAATCTCATTAAGTATAACAAAACAGACGTTACTTTGTAGGCCGTAATCCTGAGAGAATGGTTTTTGAGGTCCAAAAAATGTAGGTTGCATGCAGAATGATTATTAGAGACAGAAACAAAATTAAAAATAATGATAATAATAAAACTGAAGAAAAAGCAATCATAATGATCCACAGTCCAGTGGATTTCAGCTATGCCTCCAGCCGGACCCAAACGGCCGGCGCCCAGCTGCCTCACCGTATGGGTTTCCGTTGATGTTGGTTCCGATGAGCTCCAGCGTTTGACCCTGGAGGTCTGCCAGTGGGAGTGCTGTGATCTCCAGCAGGTCGTCTTCGTCGCAGCAGGGCTTTAGGACCAGAGCCACCCCGAGCTCGTAATCCACCACGGAGGAGTGCCAGCAGTACTGCTTGTTGCTCCTCTGCACCGGGACCCAACCTGCAGTTTCACCGTCAACAGCCATCGTTGTCGAAACTCGGCAGCAACGTGTTCGGCCGTTTCCTAACTGTTCCACCATGAACTCAGACGCTCGAAGTGCTAACTGAGGCTGGCACGGTTTGTCTTAAATGTTCTACTCTGTTAGTAGAACAATATACTTCAAATTGTCAGGAAATGACTTTAGAAACACTTCCTAGATTGATGGGCATCAACCATTGCTGATGTCTTGCCGCCAAAATCCTTTGGCAGAGGAGGTCACACTTGGTGAAATATCAACTGTTTAGTTGTGTTAGAACGCTTTTACTTTCCTTCTGAAACACAATAAAGCTGCAATATATAACGTTTCTAAAAATTTGATTTTTCCCATAATTGTTAAAAAAAATATGGGACAGATAATCTGTGAAAATGTTGCAGCTCCTCGCAGTGCTGCTATTGCCATCTGAAGAAATGCACCGCTCCGGACAACCAATCAGAACCCGGAGGCGGGTCTTAGCGTTATCAATCAACCTCCTGATTTATGGTTACTGGAAAACAGTGGCTATGCTAACTAGCCTTAGCAATCACAGAAGGTTCTGCAATCAGAAACTGTAATTTAGCAGGTAACTTCATGATGTCAACGAGCCTGATTGACAGCGCTCCGACCCTCCTCTTGCCTCTGATTGGTTGTTTCTAGCTTGCGCTGGAAAGAGGCAAAGTTAGATTGTTTTTTTTCTCTGTCTTGATGGTTTCAAAAAATCTTTTTTTATAAAAGTTATGCACTGCAGCTTTAAAGCAATTCAGATTCTAATGTTCCACTGTAGTCTCATCAAAGTGGAGTAAAAAATCATTTTAACTTTCTGTTGTCTTGAACTTAAACTACAAAACCATATAAATATCAGATCATTTCTCTCATATTCTTAGAAACTAAACTCTAAACAAGATGTATTTTTTCTGCACGATGTAAGGCATCAGAACCTGGAATGTGCCCGTGTTCATCAGGAATGGGATGTCCGTTGCTATGTTTGACTCTGTGAGCAGGAATCCACGACTCAGGCACCGTTTTAAAATCTTCCTCCACAATCCAGGAGAAATCTGGAAGAAAAATCCAAAATGCTGCGATAAACCACCAGGACTCTCATGTTCCTATTAATTATTCCAACCACTGCAGCGTGGGAAACATGCGCCTAGCTAAAGCAACGGTACCTTTACAGCTTTTGAGAGTATGTTGGTGCTTCTTGAACCTTTTCTCTGCCTGCTTGTTGGGCTTCCTGTCCAACCTGGCCCAGAGGTAAGGCTGACCTAATAAACACAGACATCAACAGTCATAAAAGGCCTCACTAATCATCTCTTATACAAATATCATTGGGTTTATTAAGACAGACAATTACACAAAACTTTAATGTCTAAAACAAACAAAAAACTGATTTTTTTAGTTTTTCCTGAAACAATGTAACTTTACGAGCATTTTCCTAAATTCTGATTTTTATTGATCAGAATGAGGGTCCATCTGAAAATATGGTATAAGTTTATGCGGTAGAAGTTCATAATTTTCTTACTTCTTCCTACTCCTTTTCGAGCAGGAGTAGACAATAGACAAAAACAGTGTGTCTTTTGCCATCCTTGTTCATGTGTGTTATTTTATTCTGCTACCATGTTCAAAATAAATGAATAAATTGTACATTTGACTGATAGAAAATTAGCTACATTTCTTCTATTAAATCAAACCTCCAAAACCCTTTAAACATTGGATCTAGAATAATTTACAACAACAAATCTGACTATTTAATTTGCTTATTGTTGAGTAGATATGATAAAACCTTTATTTCCCCCCAAGTCCTTTAGACTTGACAGCCGTGATCTGATCTAGAGCCCTATGGAGTCAACACTCTGAGATGCACGCACCTTGATAAAGAGCGACATAGCAGCAGGTGCCGTCCAGCTTTTCGGTGGCGAAGGCACAGGCTACGTTAGCCTCTAGAGCCACAGGGTTCACGGTTTCAGTCGCAACAACCTGAAACTGCTGAAGACGAGACAAAATGGGGAGTATAAAAAAAAAAGCAAACTGAACCTCCTTAGAAGTTATTCCACTAATCTGACCTCTATGGAAGAATGGAAAGAAAGTCCAATCTAAGAAAAAATATTTAGAAGAAGACATTCTGGTTAGATGAGGCTGAAATGTAACTTCTTGGCTCTGTTCAGAGACGCTTTCTGTTCAGGCTGATGAGAGTTTGACCATATGTGGGTCAACAGGGCACTGACATAAGAACGCTGACCAAAAAAAAAAAGCATGCCGCACTTTTAAGCATTTTTATTGTACACTGGAAATACACTGCATACTGGGGCAAAGAGGGAACAACCTAGATCCTTAACGTTTCGCTTTTCTTATAGAAACTTTTTTCCATTCATATAGACAAGTACTCTGAGGTTGTTGGAATCTTTTTCCTGCACAAAAAGGTCCTTTAAGAGACCCGTAGTAAATGCAACGCATTCTGCAAACATTAAGGTATGGCTGCGGAAGAAGACCGTTGTAGGTAGAGCGTGCTGCGGCCCGCAGTGTAACAGCAGAAGCAGAATCAGTCGGAGGTTGAAGCTGAAAGATGCTGCTTCTCAGCCGCGCGCTCACCTGACGCTCGCGTTTCCTGGACGCTTCTTCCTTCACGTCGGTGAGAAAAACACACGGGATTTTCTGCTGAACGGAGCCCAGGCGCCGCATGGCGACTTCCGGCTTTTATTTTCACTGGAAATGTTTCTGAATGTACCTCGGAAGCAAACAGACAAACAAACACAAATGTCAGCAGCTGCTAGCGGGTTAGAATGCGTGGATGCGTTCTCAACGTGACGTGACTCTTCCTGTGAGTTCTAAGGGAAGGCTCGTTAACGCCACCGCGTGGCCTGGAGGGAAGTTGCACAACAATGAATCGCTGGACTTGACTTTTTTTTTCCAACTAGTTTCTTTTTACATACGAGATAAAATGATTTGAGTTCCAATTATAAATTAGTTTTATTTTAAAATAAAAGCAGTATCTCAAATGTTGTCAAGACACAAATGACAAAACAATAATTTTAAAAACATGTATAAATAAAACCAACTTTTTTGTCCACATTCAATAGGAAATGGCACTTTAAATGCATAACTCGGTTTTAAAATGGGCCAACCCCTGAGTAAAACTCGGAGTGAGAGTTCACATTTGCAAATCACATGTGGTCCAAAGTATTACGACTCTTACAGCTTGCATACCCTGGCTATGAAACTTGATTTCAGCTGGCTATATAACAGCAACACATGCTCTATCAAATGATGAAAGAATCGAATCATCAGACTGCAGTTGCCATTGATGATTCACTCTAATTTAGAGAAACCTTATGGGATATTAACTGCCCAAACTGATTTAAATCATACTTTGTTTGATTTTTTTTTATTTTTTTTATCGCAAACATCTGCTGGAATCTTGTCAATAAAACCTTAACTCCTCATTCTCTAATTTATTTCCAGATCATTTGAAATCAAAGTCAGAGCATGACTGTGTAAATTAGGTGTCTGTTTGGGTTAGTGTGTATTGTGGTTACACTTATCAAATATTTGATAGTTTGTGGTCCATGAATGAAAGGAAAACACCAAAAAACCAACAACACAACTCATCTGGCAGCAGCTGCTGCTGATTTAGCTGTAAAACACATAACAGAGTAGACAAAAAATATGTTTTTTATTATTTCTTTATGTCTTCTTAAAGGAGTTTCTACAATTTGTCCACCCAAAAACAAGAATCAAACATGTATTGTTGTCATACAGTGTATGGATGGGTTGATATGACTTGCTAATACTTATTGCTCTCCATGTATTTTTTGAGTTATAGTGGTATTCCGTGCTCACTGCTCTAACTTTTAGCACATTAGTGTTGCTATGTTAGCGTACTTAACTTCTTAATTGATATAAATGCAATGTTGGTTTTTCCATTAAGGACTTTTAACATTCTCACATGACAGCTTGGATGTATAAAATAATATATAACAGTGTGGACCCCTGCCTGTGTTCGGTGTGCAAGGATTCACCACGTCCTGCACACAATGATTATAATACTGGTGAGGCAGCCAGAAAAGGATTAGAATACTTTGAATGGAACAAAGTGCTTCTGATGGCCCAGTCAAAGTTCAGACTTAAACTCAACTCACCTCCAGTCTGTTAAGTGCACTGAAAACATCCACAACCAGAAAAAAAAATCAACAATCTGGGTAAATAATACAGCATGTTAAAAGAACAATGGTGTTGACATGACGACCAAATGCTGAATAAGGAACATGAAAAACCTTGGTGTTACTATTACTGCTGGTTTTCCATTCCAACATATTGTCTACTAGAAAACACCCAATGTCATTAGAAAACATCTAAAATACTTGATGTTTTCAAATATTTTTGAAATATTGGCTCATGGAGGTGATGGCTGGTTCGACTTCTTTCCCTGTTGATTTCCAGATGGGTTCAGTCTGTTGCGCCTCATCCAGGCCTATGAGAGAAACTAAACCAGGCAGCAGAAACGTCTGCTACTCTGCAGAGTTTGTTTCCATCCCTGTATTCACACACAGTGTGACGTCAGCGGAGTACTTTGTGCTCAGTTCTTCGTCGTATTCTGCTGCTCCGTCTTCACTGTGTAGGTCCATCTCACTGTAGGAGTTCCTCCACATCTCTGTCTCTATGTCGTCCTTGTGGCGTCGGACACACCAGCGGACGACATTCCTTCGCCACAGCAGACAGGAAATGCAGATAAATAGTCAAAATACACAAAGCACTAGAATTTAGAGACTACTGCTTTTATCCATTTAAAGTATTTGGAGAAACATTTTCAGAGTTGGTTTCACATATTCACAGATTTTATTATACTAATACTGGATAATTGTTATATTATCCTCTCTAGCATAGAGAGGATAATCTATATTGTTATATTATCCTCTCTAGGGATAATATAACAATTTTAAGAAATTACTTGTAACTGTGACTGAAAAGAACACACAACATTATTAAAACATTTTTATGAAACTAGTAAAAACCAAAGGTTTGTCCTTCACCCGTGTTTTATATAGAGGGATAAACACAAATTATGTGCTGTTTCCCCTATTTTACCTGTTATATTTTATTTTTCTAAACTTCAGTGTACGAGGACATGCGACAGATGTCCTGATGCTGCAACTGAAAGAGGAGGTACTTTCTTCTTCCAGAGACTTTGTCCCTAAGGACAGTTTAGCCAAAGTTTCCTATGGAGAATTTAAAGCCACCGAAGCGATCAGGAAGCCGACTCACGATTTGTAACACCACCAAGCCGTCGCTGCACTGAGAAGCAGGAGAACGATGCTGAGACTGACGAGGCTGATGTGAGCAGCTGAAAAAGAGACACTTTTATCCTAAAAACATCTAAATGTGTGATAGAATAAAATTTGAATTATAAATGAGTATGTGTACTTTTCCTTGATAACGTACACAGGAAAAGAAACCATTGTGTTCATGTCGTTCCTGTTCTGTTTTCATGTAATATGCGATTTGCTGACCTGAGAGAGTAAAATAGAATAAGGAATGTTTACCGTCCAGCAGGGGGCGTGTTGAGCCAACGGATGGTTCCAGCTCCGGCTCAGAGGAAACGAAGGAACTTGGGGACTGAGTGGAGGTTGGGAGGCTGAAAGTGACGCCAGCGGGCGTGGAGGTGATGAGGCGATGAGGAGAAGCGGGACCATGTGAGGACAGGAGTTTGACAGGGGAGGAAGACGAAGACAAGTCTGTTGTCTTGGTAATGGAGGCTGTGGCTGAAGGCGCCCGCTCGGTGGGCCGAGGTGTCGATGTCTTTCCCTGTGCAGGTGGAGTCTGGGTGGATGATCTGGGGGTAGGAGCATCAGATGATGAGGCTGGGCCCAGAGCTTCCGGTAAGGTGGAGGAGCTGGGAGACTGTGGGCCGGCTGTGGACGGGTCCAGAGTTTGGTTCTGATCCATAAGTGCTTAAAACAGAAAGACACGTCAACTTTAAATCCTCAGCCACAGGAGTAAATGTTTCTCTTCAGGTTCTTTATGCTCACTGGGCCGGGCCTGGCCGGGCCGGGCCATTTGGTACCTGAAGCGTTGAAGCAGTATGCTGCAAATTTCCTGTCAGGCGGTGTGCTCCACCGGACCAGCCCCGTCTTCCCTTTCCCACAGTGGTTGTCAGATTTTATCCGTGGGATAACCGCCGTCTTCTCAGCCACCCAGCCATACCTGTTGGGAGCAATGAAAGAAAAAAACTTAGAAATATCCAGACTGAGGCTCACCGTACTGTCACTGCACACAAAGACAAAACAGTGAATCAAACACCTCCTCTCTCATGTTTCATTGATCATCCTACTTGCATGTCTCCAGTCCGAGCCGCATTGCTTCCTCCATCTGAGCTGTGGTTGCGATGGTGACCTCCAGAAACGAACACGCCACTTGTGCTTCAGTGAAGTTCAAAGTGTAACTTCCTCCGTCAGGCAGCAGGAAGATTCCTGTGGGTTTGTCCGTCTGGACCACGACTGAAAAATGGTCCAAAATCGATACATGTCGTTAACATGACAAATGGCAAAACGTGGTGATTCTAACCTTCAAGGTGTAGATTGTATTATAGTTTGCTTTCGGTCGAGATTCTCCAACTATTCTTTGTGACAAAATAAAAAGTACAGTAAACACAAAACTAGTAAAGTCTGAAGATCAGTTGAGTACTGTGGAGAAAATTCCCAAAACTTGCAGCATGAACTAAAGAATACAACAGAACTTATAGTTGGTAATGACATAAAAGCATATAAAAATGTTGGTGACTTCTTGTATTACAGTTTAAAATGTTTAAGTGTGGCGCTGCCTAGAGTTTTGGATACTATAATGGTACCTAAAGCTTCTAAGAACTCTTGTTTAAAGGAGCCAAGCAAGATAAAATAATCATTGAAAACTGTAGGAAATGTTTCACAACACATTAAATGTGATACAGAATTTAGAAGTATAATGGTTGCAGCCTGGTGATTTTCTTCCCACGCAGTTTTGCCTGATTCTCATCTCCCATCTGGAATTTCTCCCATTGAGTTGGATTCCTTCAGCAGGATTTCAACCGGGCCAGTCAGCGAACAGGAGTTACGGACAATGGCCTTGAAGGAATCTGCAGCGTTTTCAAATCGCATCCTGCCGATATTGAGTTGCAGTTCAGCAATAGGTTTGGAGGAAGTGAACAAAGCTGTTCGGTCCGTGTTGGTCATGTTTCCAAATATTAAAGGCGAAGGAAAAAGGAATGCAGAGGGTGCCTTCACATCAGCTCTGTTTAGTCCACTTTAATCAAAGTCTAGTTGGTTTGTGTGAATACAGGGTTTTTTTTAACAGATTGGTTTATCAGACATGGTGGAGTGTGAAAGCAAACCACAGCTGCTGAAAATGCAATAAAAGTTGAAACTTTGGTCCCAAATCAAACTGAGTTTATTCACCCCATTTTTTTGTTGTGATACTTTCACTTTTTTTTCTCTAATTTTTTTAAAGAAAATTAAAGTCCTCTGAATGCTAAAACATCAAAAATATGATTCTGATAACATAAATAGCACACAAAGTTAATCCTGGTTTTAAAAAAGAAAGTTAAGCTCACTAGTTAGTTTTAGTTTAGTTCATATTTTCTGAATACAAAAGAACAAAATGCCTTCAAATATTTAATCATGATACAAACTAAAATCAAACGTCAAAACAGATGTAACCCTTCTGCAGCTGCATTCTCTCTTTATGCCATAATATCAAATACATGATCATTACAAAGTGTTAAAAAAAATGATTGTAAAAATAAAGCAGATCTCTTACCTTTACTTAGACTGGAGGCAGAAAGCTGCAACATGCAGAGCAGCAGAAAAACGGAGGTGAAGCAGAACCGACCCGCCATGTTTCTGTAAGTGAGGTGAAAGTGGAGGAGCATCCAGAATGCAGGACGGACCCAGAACCAACCAGGACCGAAGGAAACAGGAAATGTGAGGTCAGCTCTGCCTGCTGGCCTTTCAGCCAGATACAGCAAACATCCACATGACATTCGGTCAGATTCAGGCCTCGTTTTGCTCGTCTGGTTGCAGGTACATGACATACACGGCACATCAGGTACCGTGTTCGGGATCATAGAGGATGTCCAGGAAACATTAAAGTGGGACGACAGGAAGTGTTGAGGACTCCAATTGAAACAAATCAGAGAACATAATCCTCCGCTATTAAAAGAGATCAGTTCCCGAGTCACTGAACTGAGGCTTTTTCTGTAAAAAATGATAAATGAAGTGAGTTTTACTCTGTTGGGTGTGTATTTAGTGGTATAAATATTTTCTGCTTTGCCAGCATTTCCAGCAGTTGTTGGCTCTATCAGTGGGGTAGGAAGAGCTACTTCCTGTTCAACTTTGCAGTTTTTTCTTTTTGTTGTTGTTCTACAGGTTGAAATATTTTTTAAAAAGAAAAAAGTTCTAAAATTCCATAACAGTCATCATAATATGACACATACAGGTCGCAATGACACAATATTACGATTATTGCGAGAATAAACGTAATATTGTGGGAATAAAGATGAAACAGTATGAAAATCAAGTCATATTTTGAGACTAAAATTGTAATATTACAAGAATAAAGTCAAAGTATTACGAGAGCAGTTGTGATGTTTAGAGAATAAAGTCGTAGTATTTCGAGAATAAGGTCGTAATATTACGACTTTACTGGCAACAAAGAGAACATAATCCTCCACAATGCAAAATCATAGTATTACGACTTTATTCTTGTAATGTCATTTGTTTGTTCCTGTAAGTTTATTTGATTTCATTTACATTTTTTTCCAGTGTGGCCCAAACAATAGTTAACAGATCAAACACATAGAAAACCAAATTGACAGTCAACCCTAATTGACATTGTTTTATGCCGTTGCTGTTTATTTAAACCATCCCAGAACATTTTCCCCGTTTTTAACGAGGCGTAAATCCTGCAACTGTAATCTGAAAAACAAACTAGTGTGTTAGAAAGAAAAGCCTAAAAACTAAATGAAAAGGCTATAAAACTGTGGTATGAACCAACGTGAAGGTGTTTCAGAGCAACCTGCGTTTACCTCCCTCCCTCCAGGTGCAGCTGTGATCACGTTACCTGATGAATACTGAATGACACTAAGTGAACCGGACACCAGACCCAGACGTTCATTCAGCGAGTCGTCCCACACGGCCCCCGCTCTTCTCTTCGGGCTTCATCGCTACGGCCGACGACAGCAGTGGCTTCTGGTGGAGCTGCAGCAACATGTCCGTCAGAGCCAAATCCCATACGGACCTACAGACCGTTGGCAAGTCCTCGATGGAGGACGGCTTTCACAAATCTCTCTCCATGAGCAGCAGTGGTGTTAGCAGAGGCGGCCACTTTGGGTTCGGGGTGACAGAAGAGGTCAAAGTTCTCCCCAGGGGACCAAGGGGACCCAGGAGGCCGATTCGGGCGGTGAGGCCGGTCAGCGCCGTCGGCTCCGGCGGATCCTTCCTACAGATTAACCACCTGCAGGGGGAACTGGTTCGGAAGAGGAAGGTAAGAAGGGTAAAGAAGGATCTACTGGACAAGGTCATGACTGACAGCATGGTGTCATGAAGCATGACCTTCATAGGTTTACTTTGACCATTTGAAAAATTCACAAATGACTGGAGTTCATCACAAAACAAAGACGCTTTCTCCAACTCACTATCTCACCGCTTGTCAGGAATAAACGCTTTGAGGAATGATTCTTTGGTTGGGAGTTGTGGCGACTGCACTGCTTCTAATGGAAAACCCAAGAGCCAAAAAACAGTAGCAAACATGGATTTGTGGATTTTACTTTGCAACACTTTGCAAAATCATTTTCTCATTTTAAAGTCATCAGCGTACGTACAGTGGATCAGCACAAAGTCGGGCATGACTTGGTGAAATGTTTATTTCTTGTGAAAATGCTGTAAGCTGAACGTTGCTGATGAAAATCGCAGAATAATTTATAGTCGACTGCAGAAAAACTGCAGAAACGTAAGAAATAGGCAGAAGCCACGGAGGGGGAGGGGGGGTAACACTAATGTAGGCCAGAATGTTGACCTGAGGTCACACACTCTATTCAATATGCAAAACCACGTGTAAAAGCTAAAATGAGTTCATTTGTAAACATTTTTGCACAAGCCAGGCTATTATTTAATTTAGTTCTGCCCAAACTAAATAGTTTTGACGTTTGTGGTTGTAACATGACGAAATGTAAGAAGATTTGAGGGGCTGAACCTTTTTCTTTTATTTACTGATTTATTTATTTATTTCAAAACACTGAATATCATACAAGCTCCTGAGATGACAAGAAATAAACTCATCGTAACCTTTTTGTTAGAGTCTGCAGACCATCTGAACATCCAGCCTTCAGCTCAAGCTGCCATAATCTAGAATGCATTACAGATTAATTATGGGTTCAAAAAAGAAAAAAAAAAGGAGCAACATAAATCATTCCTCTTGATTAGTATCAACAGCAAGAACAGTACTGTTCTTTGATTTGTCGGGATGGAGAGAAAATGAAAAAACAACCTTCCAAAGTGCTGACGTGCATTCATTCACTGGGAAAACACAATCCATCATCTCAGCTCCTCACGTGTCCAAAACAAACTGCAGCGGATCTGATCTGCTCTCCTCAGGAATGCGAGGACCTGAGGAGGGAGAACAAGTTCCTCTCCAACGAGATCCACATGGAGCGGGTCATGATGCGCACGGAGAGCGAGCTGACGATGAGGAGCCTGCGCTCCGAGAACCAGGAACTGAGGACGCAAGTGAAGGAGGCGAGTGAAGGAAAGGCCCGAACGCAAAACACCCGACTTGACCCGGTCAGCGCGCGCCCAACTCCTCCCTTTTGGTTTTTTGTTTTTTAAGCTGAAGCAGAGGTTGCATCACAGCCAGCAGAGGGCGACATTTTGCTCCCGAGCGGCAGAGGAGGCGCAGGAGTCCCGGGGCGAGGCCCAGAGGAGCAGGGCCTCCGCCGAGGCTCGGGCCCTCGGGTGTCAGCGCGACAAGGAGGCGGCTGAGGCGGAGCAGAGGCGGCTGAGCGAAGAGCTGCAGCTGCTCAAGAAGCAGGTCGACTCACGTTCACCTCAGAGTCACACCAACAAAAACCCCAACCCACCTTCCTGAGTTCATCACCTTTAATTTTACATGAGACTTAATTTACATGTTCTATAATGGGGCTGCAGAGTGGAGCAGTTGGTAACACTGTTGCCTTGCAGCAAGAAGGAGTTTGCATGTTCTCCCTGTGCATGCATTGGTTCTCTCTGGGTACTCCGGCTTCCTCTCACAGTCCAAAAACATGACTGTTACGTTAATTGGTCTTTCCAAATTCTCGCTAGGTGTGAGTGTGTTGTTTGTTTCTGTGTTACCCTGCGACAGACTGGCAACCTGTCCAGGGTGACCAGAACGCAGCTGGAGACAGGCACCAGCAACTCCCATCCATTATCCATCCAACAGATAATGGACGTTCTATAATGCTCTTTCATATTCATATTCTCTACTGTCTGCGTTCTATTTTATCCTTGTATGTTTGATAGTTTTAGGGGGAAGAGACGGAATTGCTGTGTAAACACGCTTCCTTCACTTCAAAATAAGAGCATGAATACAAACTTCTAACTACCGGTACTTAAATAATTCAGCAACTGAAACTTTAACACAAATGTTGAACTGCGTTCAACTGGAAGCTTCCAAACAGTCAATCAGTTTATCTTGAAAAATGTATTTGAAGGAAAGTTGAATGGGACAGAATTCCTCCACTACAAAAATCTCCATCTGTGGCAACACTCAGTGGTGTCTGTTGATTCTTAGGGTGGAAGAAACTCTTTCAAGTTTTGGGGGCAGTTACTTCTTTCCACGTCGGTCCAGGAAGGTTTGACAGCTTATGATTTAGGTTTGAAAGGTTTACTCTTCTCTCCTCTTTCAAAACACAACATGGTCAACTCAACTCAAACAAATCAAACATCAGGCTGTTTACCGTCAAAAGGCCAGGACTGCAGTAGCTTTCCAAAACTGCTTCTCCATCTCTCTGTAGTCACGTCCGTACAACAACCACACACACCGGACAAAAATAAATAAATCAATAAAAATACTATGTAAGTGAACGAGACTGAATGGATCGTGAGCTACTAGTGCCTGTTCTGACGTCAGCCTTCGGTTTTCGCAGCTCACCGATCTGCAGCTCCCGCTGGCGCAGACAGAGAAGAGCTACTTTGAGGCCAAGCTGAAGCTGGAGCGGCTTTCTGGGGAGAAACAGAGTCTGCTGCAGGAGAACAGGAGCCAGGGGGCAGAGAGGGACGAGCTGCGACTCAAGCTGAAGCAAATCACTCAGGAGAACGTCCAGATTAAAGAAAGGTACACTGGACACGGCCGAGTGGTGGTTTCACCACCTCATCTCCACCAAAATTGAATGTGACTGTCCAAAATATTGGTGCCAAGCAAACATTTTTCAAGTCTTTACAAGTTCTTAGCACCATCTTTCTTCCTATCAACTCTGACTCGCTCCTCTGTGGGAAAAAAGCTTCCATGTTTCACCTTGGGAACGCTGCGTTCAGGGTGATGTGGCGTCTTCCTCAACCTACTTTAGATATCATGGTAGTTTCAAGGCTCTCCTTGACCACCAGCTGAAACAGATCGCCAATGAATTGAAGCCGATTGGTTGCATTGGATTGTACACTTCAGTTCTTCTGTGTTTGTTATATGAAATGAGGCATGAAATGAGATAATTATGGTGATTTAAAAAACCTACTTGCTTGCTTTGAGTTTGAAAACTGGCAGTTAGAAGATGTTCAGTGGCTAAGAAATGGTGAAGCCCTGCATGTATTTACAGTGTTGCAAGAAACTGAAACTTCAAAGGTTGAACGTTCCTCCGGTTATCCGGTTATCCTCCCATCTGCTGCTGCCTTCACTCCGGACGTTTACCAAATTCCATCCAAATAACGTGCGCCCCCCTGGTGGCTAAACGGTGCCAGTGAGCTTTTGTTAGCCCCGTCGAGGCTAACCTGAAATGGCCACAAAAATGCTTCGGCTGTGTCGGGATGTTATGTCGCGCATTCTGCTTGCAGTGAGATGACTTTGAGGCGTAAAGCGACGGCGGCGGAGGAGGAGATTCAAAGAGCCAAGCAGGCTCAGCGAGAGGCCGAGGATGAGAGGCGGCAGGCCGCCAGAGAGAGGCAGGAGAAAACGGCGGAGTGTCTCAGCTGGAGGGAGAAGCACCGCGAGTTAGCTAACATCCTCCAAGCTCACGAGGACCTGAAAGCGCAGAGGCGGAGCAAAGCCGTAAGTTGCTCCGCTTGGTCTCCTTGGTGAAGTTACAAACACACATCCGGGTGTTTCACGCGACAGACCAACTTCATGTGGCTGTGGTGCCTTTTTGAAAGTCGTTTTTTTTGTGTGTGGTTGTTTTCGCTTTTAAAGTCACACATTCTGAAATGAGCAACAGTTATTTGAGCTGTTTAGTCTGTTTGCCCTACAGGGGTTTAAAAAAATGCAGGTCATTTTTTCAAAGTCCTAATTTTATTTAGAATTCCCAAATTTCAAACAAAAAAAAAAGCTTTGTAGGAAAACTTTAGTTTGAAAGATAATTCGCTAGCAAGCTAAATATTTAGCCTTTAACAAGCTAACAGGTTAATAATTATTTAGTGAGCTAATTGTAGTTTTAGTTCATTTGAGTATTATGTTTAGTTTATAGTTCTGGGGGAAATATTTAGTTCCAAGCTATTGTTCTGAACTTTCAAAACTAAACATTTAGCTTTCAACAAGTTTTATGTGAAAGTTTGAGCTTTATGGAAAAAATTATGTGATATTCCTGAATTGATGATAAGTTTAATTAAGTTCATATAATAGTAAATATTTTTTTTGGAATAAACACTGGCAAACTGCAACAGATTGGAGACTGGAGTCAAGGTTCATATCCAGCTGGAGCTGGGAATGAAAGAGTTCTCGCTCAGATGTTAGTGTCCAAGTTAATAGAACATTTATTATTTAATTTTTCCAAGAAGAATGGAAAAAAATTACTGACTTGGAGATGTGCAAATAAGGGAGAAATCAGCCATAGCATAAAGTGATGCTCTAAAGTATTGACTATTAAATAAAGATCTAATTTGCACTTCCAACAGTGTCAGGCTAACATCAAGAGCTACTTCCTGTGTATGACTGAGAGCAATCAGCGGGTAAAAATCCTGAAAAATCCAGACGGAACTGCAAGAAATTTCACAGTAAGCATATTCTTCTAAAGTCAATTCACCTACACAGCAGAGTAAAAAAATCCACATCGACATCACTTCTTTTTTATGTGTCCGAATTCTGCACAGGAAGGAGATCCTGTGTATATCAGCACACCTGACGACGGATCTGAAGAGCCTGAAAGAAGTTCATCCAGGTAGAGTCGTCCTCAGTCTGGCATCTCTATCCAGATCAGTCACTGATTTTGAAAAAAATAAAAAATTATTCCTCCTTGGGATGCAGCGATCCACTTTTTTAAACTTCCAGTACCAAGACAGATAGCATCAAACTGGCTGTTCTGAGGCTAAAGCAAATAGTCAAAGTTCCAAAAATTAAACCCAGATGGTGTAGAGAATCTCAATTCCTGGTCTTGGTAATTCTAAATGAATTCAAAATGCTCAAAAATCAATTTTAGTCTGTTTAATTTTTTGGTAAAATAATATTTTGAACAACTCTTATTGAAGTGAAAAACCATGCAGATAAGCTAACCTATTACCAGTGATTTAAGTTGCAGATTTTTATGCACAAACTTGTATTTCTCTAAATATAAACTCATGGAATTTGGAACTTTGTAAAATTGTTTTAAATAAGTTTTGGATTTGCTTACACTGTCTTTTACTCTTGTGATTGGAATCTGTAGTCACTTCCAGCTGCTGAGCAAATAAATGTGGTCCGTACAAAGCTATATGCCTAAGCATTTTTTTATGTGTATAGTAAATATTTACATATGTTAAAAGAAAAATGTCAACTATTAATCCAAACTTCTTAAAATCAGAGGTCGACTGCTGGTGTTGTGCAAACTGTGGCCACCAGGGGGCGTCAGACACTCCTGGTGGTCTGATCTGATGAGACGTTGCAGCAAAGAGGTGAAAACTTTTTTGTCTTCGTCCCGTAGGACCATGCTGAGAGTCTCAGCCCCACACACGGGGAGGGACCCGGGCCCCAGTCACTTCGACGAACTGCCCGCCTTCGACGGGGGGCGCCCCGGCTCAGCTCCCTCACGCCGGGCCAGGAAGGTGGTGGAGTACTTCTGGATCCCTACAGACGAGGAATGAAGAGTGGCTCTGTTCCGTGTCACAGCCCAACATGTGAGCCGTTTCACCCTGGAGAAGCATTTCACTCAAAAATAAATGAATATTGTTAGTAAATAGTCCATTAAATAAATGTCTTATTTTTGAAGCTTGTTGGAACATTCTAAATTAAAAGGACTAGTATAACAAGTGGGTAGAGGTATAAACCTAAAGCCCATCTCTTCTCTAGCAGCATCACTATTATGATCTCTTCATATTCACAAGTACTGAAGCAACATATGTTCATTTTTCATTCTCTGCTTCTTCCTTCTCTTCAAACCTGTAAAGAGAAGCAGTTAAAAAACAGTGACAAGTACTGGTGCTAATGTACTGGACTTTATTGACATTAAAGCAACAGAGGTGCACAATAATTATGAATACCTTACAATAAGATTCATATTCATTACCCGACACATACACATGGCTTATCAGCATAATCTGGGTATGTTTTTTTTTCTTAACTGTTTAGTTTACATGTTTTCCACCCACCCAAAAGAGACATTTACACTGAGATTTCAAATAAGCCACTCCCCCCTCCCCTCCACACCCTGCAACAAAACTGCATTATGGGTAGGTTCTACCAGGTTACTAAACTGCAGAAATGACGTTTCCTTCTTCGAATATCAATACTTGTAATCCCACGTGAAGAAGCCTTCTTGGAAATGTTTACAGTGTGCAATCAGGCCAGGACTGAATGAAATGCTCAACCTTTTTTGTTTGTTTTTGACTCATTATTTAATTTCATCATGAGAACAAAAAGCCCATCTAGAACTAAGAGGTAGAAACACAGGCAGAGTTGGAAACGGTTCAGCGCCACAACAATGATCACATTTTTTTTTTTTTCCAACTGTTGTAACTTCTTGAAGAGTATTGCAACCACTCGTCATACACAATACATAGCAGGAGAAAACAGGGCCACCTTCTGGTCATGCAGAAGATTTATGCTCCAACAAAACAAATGTTTTGTTTTTTTTAAAACACCAAAATAGATTTTCTGTTAGATCTTCTCTTTGTTGGGCCTTTTTTTTCTGAGAATCACCAAATCCTTACTGCCGTTTCTTACGATCGCATCTGAATGTAATGATTTTTATCAACACCGTTTCATAGATGTATTTAAATATCTGTTAAGAAATTTATTTTTCCTCTCTTTTTTTGCCTGAAGGAAAATATATTGGAAAGGTTTTGAATTAAGAAAAAAAAAACAAAAACAAAGAAAAACATGCAAAGTGAAAAATGAACCAAGAAAAAACAAGGAAATAAACAAGATAAAGTCACTCTAAACTCCATGTGTAGCTGACTGAACACAGATCCAAGAACATAAAAATAAAATAAAAAAATCCAAACATCCACATTAGGCAACAGGTCAAACGATGCTTCTCAGCCCGACGAGTTAACAAGCTTTGGGTTTAGATAGACGGAAGCAGCTCGGTGCCCTGTGGTAGTGGTTAAATAAAGCGTGACGTTAAAATAATAAAAGTGTGTGTGAGAACAACAAAATGGGGGATCTGGGTCATGATGCTTCTGCTCTGTTTCTCAGTCTGCTTCTTCCTCAGACTCCTCTTCCTCTGCTGTCTCCAGCCAAGTCAGCCACTGGTTCACCTGACAGGATGAAGAAAAAATATAAAGTTAGTTTTCTAGTGCTTTGTGTCTAAACTGAGCAGTGAAGAAATTTAAATTAACGTTGCGATGCTTGGTAAAGTTTGGACCTGCAATACAGATTTGTCTTTAGGAACTAGAACAAGACATCAAACGTTTTTGTTTAAAATCACTAGTAGGGCCCCCTTGTGGGAGGGGAGGTGGATGGTCTTGTTTGGCTGGGGTGCCCCCTGGTGGATGATGGTGCACATCCCTCATGCCATCAAGTGCAGGCAGAAGAAAAACAACAAATATGCAGCCAAGTGAGTCTCGAGAATCAGATACTGAAAATAATGACCATATTTTCTGGACCACAAGTCACACATTTTATAGTCTGGCTTATAAAAAGAATGCACGGTAAGTCTTTTTTATCCCATTAATTTTAAAGTAAAAACACGGTGTCCACCACCACGTTACAGTGCTGTAGTGCAGTGCATTTGCTGAATGGGAAAAGATTGGATTTGTCAGTTGTCAGACTGTTAGCTGGGGAAAAAAACTCACCAAATTGTATTCAGCGGCTGATTTTGTCTAGTTGAGAATCAGAAGCCGTTTACCTGGAATAAAGCTTTTCCTTTTCCAGGGAATTCTTGGGTGATGTCTTCTTTCCATGATAGGAAGGCTTCTTCTTCAATGATCTCCATGTCGTAGAAGTTGACAAAGTAGCGCAGCAGCATACCTTACAGGAGAAAGAAAAAGAAACAAAAATGTAAAGCACGTCTTGAATGAGACATAAAAGCACATGGGGCTGCCGTACCTTTAGGGAAGCCGCTGGCATTGCAGTGCACTTGCAGCGCGTAGAGGGCGCTGACCTGCAGCTCAGTGTGGTCGTGCAGGAACTTCTGCATGACGGGTTTGAAGGCCAGCAGCAGCTGCTTCTCCTGCTCCAGCTGCTCCTTGGAGGGGGCTGCCAGCTGGTCGTCGCCCTCCGCCATGCACAGCTCCTGGGAGATGTACTGGAGGAAACTGGAACAGACGCACACGGTCACAAAGTTTTGTTCTGCCAATGGAAACGTGGAGCTGCTCGGCGCTGAAGCGCACCTTGTCATGAGGATGTTGACGAAGCCTTTGTCGGTGTGCAGCCTGGGTGAGATGTTGTCTTTAATCCACTTGTAGATGGACTGTGGCGATGGGTCGGCCTTGATCTGCTTCAGCAGCTCCTTCTCCAGCTTCAGCAGTGGGAACAGGAAGCTCAGCCCCTTCCCCTCCAGAACCTCCAGCATGCGGTCCTTGTTCTGATCGATTTCTGCCAAAAGAAAGAAGAAAAATGGAGGTCACTTCTGTCCATTTAGGAGATCGATATTTTTCCACAGCTCCTTTGAATTGTGGAGCTCCTCAAGGTTGTATTCTCGGCTCACTCTGCCAATTGACATGACGCTGGCTCCGCCCCCATGCTGCCGTAGAGCAATCCTCCCCCAATCATTCCAGGGCACTGACCAATCAGCGTTCCAAGAACAGTACTCCGACAATATTGACAGTATCTATCATAGAAAACATGCTGTAGTCAGAGATTTTGAGGAAAATATATAATCGCTACCGGGCTAGTCAGCACCACGAAGGTAACTGGTACTAAATATCCCAGTTTTGTCATAATGATACTTACTGATAGCTCTGTGCTAACAACTCACAACTCAGTTAATTTAAAACAATAGTAAACATCTAATCAGTTCTAGATCAATAAGTGAAGGTAGTTATGCTGGATTTTATGCGTGTAGATTCCAGTGGTAGCTCTATAGCAGCATGAAAACCGACTGCACAAACTGCTATATTGGCATTTAAACACCGTTTCATACTTCTGTCTACTTCTAAGCATTTTCCTGAAGGCAGATTTTCACAAGCCGCTATTATTCAAGTAATTACTCACCCATTGTGTCCTGCAGCATTCACACTTAGACTTTTTTGTCCCTCATTTGTTCTCTTGGGCTTTATCGTTGAATTCTCCGTTATTTCCGCTAATAACCTTACACACCTGTAGTACCTGAAGTAGGGCTAATTACAGAAGTTTCTTGCCCGTCGTCTTTGCCTCAGCTTTAGTTTATAAGGCAAAAATGACTCAAAAAACATCTGGGGTAACACATTGAGGTCCATTAGTTAATAACAGTGTGGTTGTAGGAGGACTGCTCTACCTCTGCATGGGGGCGGAGTCTGTGTCAATTAAAGAAGACGGGGTCATTTTTATTCAACCATTCTATAATAGTGATGCACAGATCTGATATTAACTGTATATTATCTGTAATCTGCTCCAATATTGAGTAAAAAAAAATATCTATAATCAGGCATTGGTGACAGTTCTCCAAATCCATAAGGGCAGACATATTCAGTCTAATTCTGTCCTTTGTGTTCTGAGTGACAACATGCCATTTATCCTACATTTATAATTTCTAATTACACTTTTTGAACCATCTGAAAGGTTTGTTGCTGTTTATTTTTACATGTTTAAAACAAACATAAAAATAAATAAAAATACGATGGTCAGTTTCTTTGTTACATTAGCCATTCTACTCCTAATTGCACTGACTAAAAGTTTTGTTTATGTAAAGCAGTACATAAACGTTCCAAAAGAGGGTGCTGTTCTCGGTAATTGCTGCACTATCGCAATTGTAACATGTTTGTCCTGCTGAGGACACCGTAGTGCAGGGATGTTTTGCGCGAACTGCTGTATTCCTTACAGAATGTTCATTGCCTGCAAGGTAAGCAGCTTCTCCGCCAGTACTAGTGGAACAAGTACATTAGATTAATATACAGAACCGTTTGTTTGTTCGGTTTGCCAGTTGGGTACGATGATGTTTAATTGTTGTTTAAAAGGGAAAGCGATTGAATTGTGACAGTATGTTTATTGCCTGCAAGGTGGATGGAATAAACGTGCGAAAGTCTGTGAAGAGCCCTGTGTCTGATTCCGCCCCTGCATGGATCACATCCCACCTACATCATAAAACACAACGCAGAGCCTCGGGCGTCTTGCATCAGCTGCAGATTGCAGATTTAGGGACGGAGAGCCTGGGTTCCATTTAAGTTGAGCTCGTGCCTCTGACCTCTTGACAAAGTGACAGTGTGTGAGCTGGTGGGGCGGCTGTACCTGGAAGCATCTTCTGCATGTTGACCTTGCTTTGCTGGAAGAGCTCGGTGAGCCACTCGCGGTCCTTCAGCTTGGCCGTCTGCTGCAGGCAGAGCAGGAAGAGCGGGAAGTGGGTGCCGTTCTCCAGCGGGTGGGCCAGCTCCGCCACGCTCACCAGCTCCGCCATGATGGCCCGAGCCGCAAACTGGGCCAGGTAGGACTTCACCAGAGGCACGTCCAGCTCGATCTTCGGACACAGGTCCAGGACATTGAGGAAAGCCTGGTGGGAATGAATAAAACACTTATACACTTTTTGACTGATGTGACTTATAGTCCAGAGAATATAATTATTTTGTTTAAAAACACTGAAGGGAAAAAAGAATTGGAGCAGTGGAGTCCATTTGTGTTCTCACAAAATTTTTTACTGGACAATAAATTATCACCACAGAAGATAATATTGTGATTTTCAAGTACTATATTGAGAATGAAATAATGTAAGTTTGCTGTATGAATAATTATGTAAAGAATACTTAATACTGGAATAAGAAGATTTTTTAAATATTCAAAACATAGCAAACAAAAATAAAATGGAAATTAAAAACTACACAAAATTTTTCTTCAAGAAATATCACATTGGAAATGATCAACCTTATTTGAAGTCATCATGACTAACTGCTTGCTCCTGGAAGATGAACTTGCACACTTTTATCAAGTCTATTGCAGCAAAAACATATTTGCAATTCTGTGCTCCATGTTTATATTCTACCCCTTGGTGAAGATGAGACCCTCTGTGGGGGTTTTGTCAAAATGTTGTCCATCTGCTGTATCTCAGCTCTAGGCATTCCATCAGCTTCCTGTACCTGCATGAAGTTTTCTCCGGTGATGAGGCCTTCGGCGCGCAGGGCGTGGATCAAAGTGCTGGCGTGCTCCTTGTCTTCGTCGGGCCGGTCCAGGGAGCACACGATGATCTTACTGAGCATCTCTGGCAGAAAGTGCTTTGGCGCTTTCATCTCCCGCACGCCGCCCACGGCTTCAGTCAGGTTCTTCGTGTTCAAGTACTCAGTCATGATGGCCTCCTGGTGAGAGGATGAAAGAGACCCGGAATGAGCAGGAACTTCACCGATGGTGGGTTTTCCACCATCAACATGTCTGCTTCTCTTACTGTGGTTTTCAGAAGCTCCTCTTTGGCAGGAGGGGGCTTTTTGTTGGTCTTCTGGGGTTTTTCCTGGATGGGTGGAGGGTTGGTCTTCAGGCCAAGCTGTGGAGGCTGACAGAAGACAGCAGGGGGTTATGCAATATGAAACTTAATAAAAATTACACACTTATTCCAAAAATTAATGAGTGGGTGGTATTGTGCATTTTTCAGGCACCATTTCATAGCACAATCAAATAATTAATTTAACTTCAGTTATAAAAACGCCATATGTAGCCATCCATCGGACTTAAGAGATTTGACTTTGTAATTGAACGGCTTAAAATTGGGCCTCCGTCTCTTTAAGAAATCCCTGCTCTTTCTGAAGCTCCATCTTCAGCTCAGCATCATCCTTGAAGGCGGAGCTAGGTCCACCCATCCGTTTTGCACAACTGAATGGTTGTCATGGAGATTTGGAGAGTTCTCAAACATGCATGAACGAATCAAAAACACTCCAGATATGTTTTTGATAAAAGAACATTACAACATAATGTAAAACTAAAAAAAAAAAAGAACTTTTTTTCCCACATAATATTGCCCCTTTCAGTCAGTCTGTGCCCGTCTTCTCCTACCTGTCCTAGCGGAGGGGTCTGGGTGCGGGGGGGCTGAGAACTGGGAGGCATCATAGAGGGAATCTGAGGCTGAAGCTTGGGCACCTGGTTCTTGTTGAGGAGGAATGACTGAGCCGGCCGGAGGCTGATCTGGAGACGGCACAGAGCGGAATCAACCTGGAGCTTAAATTGCATCTAATTGTGTGCATGTTTTCAGAAGCGATGCCCTCATATCTCATAATCGCAGTCAGCGGACCTGCTGCCAAAGCGAGGAAGAGGATGAGGAGATAGAGGAAGATGAGAGGAGAAGGAGACGGAGCAGAGAGCAGAGGACAGACTGACAGCAGGTTGGATTCCTCAGAATAACGCGTCTTTTTATAATCACTGGGCATTCAGGCTCCAACAAAGAGATGGTTTAGTTGGGATTGCTTTGGATTTTAAAATGTGGTTCTGTTAAATTAAAAACAGTCTTCACCTACAGTAGATATACCCACAATAAACGCAAAAAACAAGCTAGCTAGCAGCCAGCAAGGGTATATTAGCAGCTGGTTAGCGGTAGCATCAACTGCCTCATTCACAATGAAGATGTCTGTGTGAGTCACAGTGAGTTTCTGCAGGCACAAAGTCAAATTTAAGAATTTTTCTGATCATTTTAATGACCTGAAATTCTAATAAAATGTACAAGAGAAATTTGTGAATAAATACTGACTAGCAACAGAAACGTGAGCACGACAAAATTTAAGACCTGTGATTTAACTTATTCAAGACGAACTTTTCTCCTTCTTTGGATAAAATTAAGAGATTTTAATCTGAGTGTAAAACTTTAGATGATAGAAGTTTGCTTTGGAGTAACGTAGGTGTATAGAAAATGAGGGAGAGTAGAATCATCTATAACAGGGAGGATATTAACCGCTTTGACTTTTTAACAGAACCTCACTTCAAAAGTCCTGAACTATCCCTTTAACTTGAGACCATCTGACAATGAGCTCCTCCAACAGCTTGTCCTACTAACCTCATCTGCATTGAGCTGTCCTTTCTTGCTGAAACGTGGAGGCATGTCCTTGGACTGAGCCTGCTGCTGGCTCATGTGGTTCTGGCTCTGGTTGAGGAAATGTTGGTTCTGAACCTGCCAAAGGATTTAAGTGTCATTTGCTGTCGCTAAAACCGATAAGTCAGACACGCATCTATTCACTCCGAGCTAAATTACCTGGTTGGACTTAACGAAAGACTTGGGCCCCATGTCGAACTGTGACTGCTGAGGAGCCGCGATGTGGCCGCTGTGGCCGTTGAAGAGTGGGTTGGTGCGATGGCGTCCCATAGTGGGCGAGTACCTGTCCTGAATAACACCCGGTCCGGTTCCAATCCCGCTTCCTAAGAAACAAAAGCAAAGAAGACTTTGGATGTAGAAATTGGAGATGAAGATTATAATTCAGAAAATTGTGTATCAGGTCAAAGGTCGGTAACTCATTTGCGCCGTCAATGCGCCCTTTAGGGATCTCTTCAGAGACAAAAAAAAAAAAAAAAAAAAAACTACAATATATTACAATATATTAATTTATTATTCTATGTTTCCTCTTCTTTGGTTATTGTACATAGGTACATAAATTTGCTAGATTTTTTTGTTTTTCAGAAAGCAGCAAGAGCAGATTAGAGAAATGCAATGATACCGCTTTTATCTTTATCTTTTGGTTATTCTTCTCTTTAAGAACAAATACTATTTTTATGATTACAATAAACACACACACACACACACACACACACAGTTGAAAAGTCTAACTTGTTAAAATGCATGTATTTAATTGAAATGATGTGTCAAAGTCCTGATCCTAATAAAAACAGCTACAAAACGTGGACAGAAAACGTGAAATCACACCTGGCATCTGTCCAAACATGTCAGCCAATCCCCCAAGAGTCTCCCTGTCCAGTTTCATTCTGTTGGGCATGAAAGGGCTTTCCAGGAAGAAGTCCATCCTCATCCCCTGAGACATGGGTGCTGGGATGAAAACACCCAAATCCTGGAGGAAAACACGATTGTTAATAAAACGACCACACAAACTATGTCATTTCATGGCTAAACACGGTAAAGTCGGCAGACCTTCACTGCGTCCTGACGGATCTGGTTAATTGTCTTTGGTCCGTTGTCGATGAAGGCCTTGCGGGGGACCCAGTTGTTTTCACGCAGCTCCACTGTGTCTTGCAGCAGGAAGCGGATCCTGGCAGGCAGCTCCTTGTTGTTCATTAAGGATCGCATACGGCCAAAGTACTGATCCATTAAAGACTGTTGGGAGCGCATGGAGAGGGAAAAAGTGCTCAACACAGTGCTGAATTGAAATCCAATCCTCACCCACACCGAGGGCCATGTTAGGGGCTCTTACCTTTGCTTTCTCATGGTCGAGTCTCGGCCCCACTGTTCTCATTATCTGACAGAGGCATTCCAGGTCCTCTCCCATATCCTTGAGCTGGACTCTCTTCTTCTTTTCCAGAAGCTTTGGACATGATCACAGGAAGTAAGGAAGGGGTCACCATGAATCTTATGGTAATGATTAAAACTATTAAACACAAACAGGAGAAAAAGCATGAGCTCACTGTTTTGATGCACTTATGAAGGATAGATTCATGGATGAGGTCAAGTTTGCCAAGTTCCCCGATGAATTTAATGTTGCCAAGCATCTTGATCTTGGCGATGGCACGCTGCTCCTCCTCCTCAGAAGTGAGAGGATTGTCATGTTTGTCATAGACTGAAAGGAAGGACAGGGTTAGGGTGACAGGGTCAGCAGCAGCTTTATCAGGACACAAACTCTCTGGCTGATTACACAAGTTTAAAAAAGCCTGACCTGCTCATTCCCTTTTTGGATGAAGCTGTTTTTTTTTCTGTCTGAAATGTTGCTATACAAAGCAACATTTCAAAAAATAGCTCAAAAGACATCACCTTTGACTTACTTTCAACATTTCTGGTGCGATTTTCAAATTCATCTTGAAGCTTGGAAATCAGCAGTCTTCTGAAGGTCTGAAAGGAGAGGGGGAAAAAATCTCAATTTGCTTCTGTATTTATGCAAAAGCTGATTTCTAAATTTGAGTTCCAAGACTCAAAATCATCTTTTTTTTTAAGAGTTCTCAGTCATTGTTCAATTTAATAATGCTATAATGTTCTCAAAGAGAAATTAAGCTAGTTATATTTAAATCAAGTGGAATCAAAAAGAGTTCAGTGAATGTATTTATTTCCACAGGTCAGTTCATCAGCATCTAAAATAACTGAAGAATCTAACACCATTTAACTTCCCAATGTAAGGGAAGTAATAAAAATGTATTTTTAAATTTGAAATCTAGAAAAAATCTGACTGTAAGAAAACACTAATGCTTTTTATCATCTGACATTTATTGTATTGACAAGTGAAAATCACTCCATTTTCTTTTCCCAGGCATATCCAGGTCTCAACTTTTCCCTTCTTTTTAAAGCCTGAGAATCCCATTCCTTTCCCTAAAGACCACAACAGCCACTTACTGTGCTCTGCTTTTGGGATGTTTGGATCTCAGATGAAGGGCCATCAAAGTTTGGAGCGTCCTCTGCCAAGCGCAGACATAGCTGAGCATAGAGTGAGCTATATTTTGGCTCTTCTAGGGCTTTGTCTACAATCTGAAACAAACCAGAGTTAGGATGCGAGTCAGCAAGAGCAGCGACGCAGCCACATATCTCCTCTTCGCTGAGCTAAACGGATCCGAAACGTTCACGTACCAGCAAGATGATTCCTTTAAGGACGAGTTTTGAATCTACGCCCACATTCAGGAGCTCAAGGCATAGCTTGTCAAACTTCTCAGGCGTGAGTTTGTTGAGTATGCTAGGAGAGGAAAAAAAAAACAAACAAACAAGAAGGTAAAAATAAGATAACAAGGTTGTCATGTTTTGTACTGAGAAGCAGCACCTGATGCAGAAAGGAAAAGGCCTGAAGTGCTTTTAGCAAAGCACATGCCATCCTAATGACTTCAGTCTTATCTTTTGTTTTGGTGTAAACAAGCAGAAACACGACTCCATCTCAGTGTGGCTTAAAATGGCTTCAGAAAAGCTTGAATGATGATTCAACTGTTTGAAATTTGACTCGACCAAATTAAAAAGAGCAGTATTATGCGTTTTCCAGACTTACAGTAGCATTTTATAGCACAATCAAGTAACTATGTTTCTGGCAGTTGTAAAGTGCTGCATATATCTAATATGAGCAAAGACATTTCACTTTGTAATTTAGCGCTTTAAAATTGGGTCTTTGTCTCTTTAAAAATAATTTGCTCTTTCTGAAAATTTGCTTTCAATCCCTTTAACAAAGTTGCATTGAAAAGTAGCTTATGTAATGAGCTCAGCAGATGCGCAGTACCAGCAGGTGTTTGCTAACTGCTGCTGGCTAGTCTGAAGGAGCTGAGTGGGGGGCAGTCGGAGGCAGAAAATTGGAAACTGCAGCTCTGAGGACGAGCATCGACCTCAAAGACGGCGCTTGTGAGAACAAATGTTTTGGGTGACTGAAAGGTTGCCACGGGAGATGAACAAATTTCTCAAAAGGTCAAGGTTAAATGTTGGTTCAGGTTAGGTTAACCCTCAAAATCGAAGCAACACTGGTATGTTTTTGAAGAGTTAATATAACATGATGTAAAGCTCAAAAAAGTCAACTTGACATAATACTTGCCCCTTTAAGATCACTTGTTGCCTTTAATTATGGTTAAATCCAATTCTGCATATGTTGTGATTTTGTTTCCCTAAAAAAATGTGAATTCCTGTACACCAATCAGGTCCTTACCCCCTCACTTTCCTGAAGATTGCATCGTGTCGCTCTTTTTCGTTGCTGGAGTTGGCATCTCGTCTAGTGCTTCGTGAAGGAACCCATCTCTGAACGCTTTGCCCTGGGGTTTTCCCCAGGAACTCGCTGAAAGATGCAAAAAGACTGAGTTCAAGACTTAATCTGAGCAACAGCAGCAGCAGCAGAACGCTTTGAACAAAATGGAACACAAAGGTCGTTGTTCTGAGAGCAAACCCCCAGCACCTGCACAATCCCAATCACTGCAACCTTTCCATTAGGTTCACTTTGACTCGACGTCATGGAAAACCCATTACCACAAACATATAAATAGAGTCGAAAATGGCAGTACAGGACTACTGGGAATTGGAGATCCCTGGAGTTCTAGCTCCTATTCTTTCAGTCTTCAGCAGAGTGACAACAAAAGAATTCTTGGCGGTCAAATGACCTTTACGTCAATAAGAATTGATAGTCTAAAGCTAACCCTACCTGTTGCCGACAGTCTTGGGATAGTGCTGAGGTGCACCCCTACCACCTCCTCCCCCCGAAGAAGCACTGCAGAGGAAAATAACCAGAGGAACGTGTCAACTTCACGCCACAAACTGGAACTGTTC